TTACGGCGAACAATGTGAACAATGAGTTTGAATCAAAGATTCGGTCCCCGGTTACGTATCTTGCAATCAGCGGGTCTACCATGAAATGAAATTCCGAAATTTCGGACTCAATTTCGTGTTTTTGTTCGTACCAAAATCGACCCTATAAAAGGAAATTAAGATTTCATTTATCATAAATCCTACCATAAACGTTCAAAGGAACGATACTTTAGCATTTTTAAGCGGTACGTATCATGTAATTTTAACATCAAATTTGTGTTTCGTTCGGATCCGAAATTTCGGAAAACATTCCATGGTAGGCCCTTAGTTCGCGATTTTTAATTTTTTACATGTATTACCTAAAAGGTAATTAACGAATGGCAATTAACGACCGAACATTAGAACAATACAATCTCTGCAAAACTATTTAGAAATTATTATAACGAATTATCATTTCTAATTGATTGTTAATATTACTATTTGTAAAAGAAAACTGCATTTAGCCCGTTTAGCGATTAAAAAGCAATTATGTTATATAACTCCATTGTTTTCAATTAACATTAACAATGATACATTTAAGAATCGACGTAATCAGCTTGACAATTTTAATGAACGACAATAACTTGGAAATTTTTTATTTATTTATTCATTAGTACAAATATGTGTACATGGCGGACTTAATGCTAAAAGCATTCTCTCCCAGTCAACCATAGAGAAGTGTAAGAAAACACGACTACGGTACTACTAATTATTGATATACATACATACTAAAATTATATATATGGTATATAAACGAATAAATATATATGAATAACAAATACACTTACACATATATGATATATACTATACTATACACGAAATTGAGAATAATATAAAGCACTCACTGCTCGGGTAAAGTAAAAAAGTAAGCGCGAACGTTTTTTTTTCATTTAATTGTGCATTTGAATGTTAAATAATGGGGTCGATTGTGAATCATCATACCTATAAACCGATTTCCAAAATTAAAATTTCAAAATAACAGCGAAATCTTCATCATCATCATCATCATATCTGCCTTTAACTGTCCACTGCTGAACATAAGCCTCCCCCTTGGGGGGTTTTGCCAGTAGTTGGCACGCTTGGTAGGCGGATTGGCAACCCCAATCAGGTTTTGGAGATATATTTAGAGGGACGCTGCTGCCTATCTCTCGCCCTCCCTTAGTTGCCTCTACCCACGGGAAAAGAAGAGGTGGCCTATATTACGCCGGGACCACACGACAACTTGTCTCTTGAAGATGAAGATACAAGTTTAGAGGAAAGACGCCTTAGAATGAAGATCAATGTTTTTTTTATACAACTTAGAATGGCACACAAGCTGACGGCCCACCTGATGGAAAGTGGTAACTGTCGCCTATAGACATGAGCAGTACCATGGACGTAACAGAGTATACTGTTTCGCCCATGATACCCCCATGCGTTCCTGAGGACTCAGGTGTTATTCCTCTGTACCCAGTAAATTCACGCCATATCCCACCCTTCAAACCGAAACACAGCCATGCAAACACAACTGCATCACGGTTTAAACACGAATGGGACAGAGGTACTCAAGCAATCGACTTTTGTACAAAGTCTCTCAATTGACAAAACAAATGTCTTAAATAAATAAAAAAAAAATAGTTTAAAAAAAAATCAAGAGTCGTATCCACACTATTATATTGCAGCGGCGCATATATGCCTGCATAAAATTGATTGGTTCAAGTTCGTAAAGAGTTTTCTTATGCAAATTAGAGAAGCAAACAAACCTGATGCAAAGCAGTGGGGGGGAAGGGATCGTTAGTAATGCGGATTATCAGTCTCATTGCTAACAATATACCCTAACAGATCGACCTCCCGTGGTCCCCCCTGGGAACCATCGTGCTTAATTCCAAACGTATTCATCGCGATAGGCTAACTGACCTGCCTTTTCATTCTCACTGGTGCCCCCCCAGCGTATATCGTTAGCGCAGGCGGGGTTACCTTTACGCCATAAAGTTATATAAAACAAACTATTATGGTAATAGGCTACTAAACAAATGGACTATCCATTTATTTAATGATGATGTTTCCGAATGTATTTGCAATTCAAGTTGTTGTTTACGATATTTTGTTTTTTTTCTTCGAACTGCGGAATATCGCATTAAAACTACTGCCTATTTCGTTTTTTGTTTGCCTAATGGTTGACTACGGTATCGTGAGCGAAACAGTATACTCTGTTATGTCCACGGTACTGCTCATGTCTATAGGCGACGGTTACCACTTTCCATCAGGTGGGCCGTCAGCTTGTTTGCCATTGTAATATAAAAATATAGTTCTCATATAAACTTTTTATGACTTAGAATGGCAAACAAGCTGACGGTCCACCTGATGGAAAGTGGTAACCGTCGCCTATACACATGAGCAGTACCATGGACATAACAGAGTATACTGTTTCGCCCATGATACCCCCCATGCGTTGCCATTCCTGAGGACTCAAATGTTATTCCTCTGTACCCAGTAAATTTACTGCCATATTTTAATTTTACTCTTTACAAACCAAAACACAGCCATGAAAACAGCTGCTTCATGGTAGAAACATGAATAGGACAAAGTACAAAATCTTCCTCTGGTATACAAAGACTCCCTCTGGTAAGTTCACCAAAAATTTTTTTTTTAATTTTGTCTATCTACATGTTTGTTCTGGCCTCATGCAAAAATATATATATACTGTTATATATATATATATATATATATATATATATATATATATATATATATATATATATATATATATATATATATATATATATATATATATATATATATATATATATATAGTACCTAACGGGATACGCTGGCAGGGCACCAGTGAAGGGTGATAGGTGAGAATGAAAACAGGCCAGTTAGCCCATCATATTGAATTCATCAGGAATTAACCATGATAGTTTCCAAGGGGAACTGCGAGGAGGTCGACATGGTTGGGTATATTGCTAGCAATGGGATTCTCAGTCTCCATTACTAACAATCCCTTTTCCCCTGCTATTTTATGTTGTAACAATATAGGTCTTAAGCTATTAAAGGTAAAGAATCAACATGTACCCTGGAAGGGCACAGCGATCACATTAATAAATATTAAATAAAATACATAACTATACTATATTATACATGTATAGTGGATTTAAACAAAATAAATAAAACATTATTACATGAAAACAAAACAAATAGATACAAATACAATTAAATTTTCTCATTGAAAAATTCCTACAGTGTATAATAACTTTTTGTAATTAAATACTTTTTAGAGCTATTTTAAACTTTTTAGAATCATTTTCATTTTTTAAGTTTATTGGAATTTTATTGTAAATTCTTACAGTTAACGAGGTCACTGAATCAATACACCTCAGTATTCAGAAATGGCAACCTAGAGGGGTACCATAGACATATTTTGTAATAACTTTAATATAATATTTGTTTGAAAAAAAGAAATATTTGTATTCAAGTAAACTTAGATTTAAACATTTTTGAATAGTCATTTTTTTCATTACCGCCCATTCGGAACGCAATAGCAGCCAAGAACGGGCAAGAAACTCAGCCGTTGGTTTTTTCAAAAAGTTTATATATATAATGAATTTGTATGAATACAAACTACTAAGATTATAAAATTTTAAATATATAGTATACATCTATAGGCACTTTCCATTAAGTTGGTTGTCAACTGATTTGCTAATCTGTTTTATAAAAAAAAAATTGGTGCATAGTGAATTAATATAGTCATTAAATAGACATCACAGTATATACTGTGACATCCATAGTGCTGTTTGTCTATAGGCAACAGTTACCACTATCCATCAGGTAGTCTTCAGGTTGTTTGGAATTGTAGGTAAGTTACATAAAAAAAAAAACAAATATTATTGCCTGACGCGGCAAAATTATTAAACTGGGCACTAACGCCTAATAATAAATATATTGAATTAATATAAAATACCTGTGTACGAAGTAGAGCTGTAGGAATCCGCCGAGGAAGCCGACAGCGACCTGCTTCGATATCTCGCTGATTTTTTCAGAGCGCCCGATTTGCCGCGCTGGCCTTCGAATTTGCCCGCAGTGCCTTCTGCGTTCCCGCCTCTCACCTGTCCAGGATCTGTCACGGGGCTATCGCTTGGAATGTTTGCGGCTGCCACACTCTCTTTGCGATGTTGGTTCGGCTCGCCATGCCCCTCCGACATTTTTTTATTTTTATTTTTTATTTACTTTTCCTAAATCTGAGTAGGTAATCTAATTAAAAGATATTATTATATTCCACTTATAAATTTAACGTAACAATTAACTGTGACTATTATATGTATTTATAATGATAATACTAATATTTTTATAGTGATAAAATTGATTAAAAACATGAAATATAAAAAACATTCGCACAAACAACCGCAGTGGCGATGAAATTATAATTCATTAAATAATAGACACTGGACACTAATAGATAAATTACTATTATTATCTAGAATGTTTCAACTATCTATCGTTGCATTTATGGCCATAAGCATTGATAATAATGTTCGAAAAATATGAATTTCCAATATCCAATCCACCCGTGAGCAGAATCGAAAACCCCACACCTCATACTTTACCCGATACTGAAATGTCATTTTTCGATCGGTCCATCAAGATTTTCCGTAGAGATTTCAATGAAATGAAAGTCGTGAAAATCAGATTGATGTCTATGAAATGAAAATTTATAATTGCATTTATTATTTTTTTTTTTATTATTACACTTTTTAATTAACTGTCCTTATTAAATATTGTATTCAATTATAAGGATAATTATAGATTCAATAAATAAAGATTAAACACATAGGTTGAACAGAAGTAATTAAAAAAGAATTATTAAGTAAGTAGTATTAGCCAATTTCCATCCAAATAATTCAATTGAATTTTTGTTCATATAGAGAAAGATAATGACTACATTTACAAATAATATAATAGCAATCTAATTATGATCTCGATTTGTCCAATCGTTTTGTCTATGGTTTGTGTAACATGTTATTCACTTCACTAATCTCGGCAATATGGAAGTGAAATGTATGACAACTAATACTCTAAACAACTAGGAAATAATTGAGTTTCTATTTGATTTATCTCTTTATTTGGTGAGTAAATTTCTCTTTAATTACAATTTATTTTTCTTATAGTGTGGTTCTGTGTAAACTCAAAAAGGGAAATATTTTATTGTGTTTTAAAAAACGCAAATGTGTTCGTCACCGTATCTTTTTACCGGCAAGACAATGATACATTCGTTTATTTGTCAATAATGTAATAGTTTAATTTGCAATTATATTGTTATCAATGAAACTAAGACTATTTTTGTGTATTTTCATTGAAAATAATAATTTAATATCGGAATGTTTTTCGGCTTATTTCAGATACTAAAAAAAACGAAATTTTGCCTATCTTATACTGTCGCATTATTGTGATTAATCAAATTGTTATTAAAGTAAGTAGATATTATTAATCATTAATATTTTTTATTATTTTAATAAATGTCACACGCTGTGACAATATTTATTTTGACATAAAACAAGTAAGGCCAAAGAGAAAACGTTTGTGTCCTATCTCTCTTTAACACATCTTGATTGGTATAAATCTATCTCGTTTTTACATTTTAAAAATGTAATGTATATATTCATATTTGAGTAAGCTAAATAAATAAGTATAAAAATAATAATAACTTTAAATATTTTAGTGTTTAGAAATAAAAATAATAATTTATCAATTCATATGTGGAATGGATCTGAGATGAATAGTTGATGACACCAATATAATATGTAGTCATGGTATATTCTGGCAGTCAGCAGTGAGAGATGATAGTCGCGAATGAAGACAGTTTGTTTAACCCATCATTACGAATTTCACAAGAATTTACCATAATGCGTTTCAAGGGGAACTGCATGGACCATGGATTTGCACCATTGCTAGCAATGGGGCTATTAAACTCCATTAATAACGATCCCTTTCTCCCAGTAAATGGATGTAGGTACCGGGGTAAACCTAGACTGTTATTGTTTTTATGATCACTCACTGGTACTCCAGCTGTATATACCAATAGTGCTGAATTTTTTAAAGTTTAAATGGATCGCTTGCAATGTGCTCATATATATGTTTATACAGGTGGGATACTGATAGGAAATAGTTGGTGAACATGAAATCGGGTCAGTTGGCCTATCATGATGAATTCACCAGTACTAATAGTAATAATGATGTTTTCTAAGATCATATGAATGAATGATAATGGAATGGTAACCCCATCTGCACTATCAGTATATTTTTTTTTTTTGATAGGTGAAAATGCTGTTTATACCATTAGCCTGCATTAACGGTATAAACTGGGGGACACCAATGAAAGGTTGATAAAAATACAGGCCAGTTACCCCAACATGTTGAATTCATCAAGAATTAACCATGATAGTTTCCAGGTAGAACCGCATGAAGGTCGACCTGGTTAGGTATTTTGCTAGCAATGGGATTCTCACTCTCCATTACTAACAATCCCTTTCCCCCCCATCGGTGTATGCTAATGGAGCATCATTGATAAATGATAAGTGAAGATGAAAGCAAATCTATTAGCTAATTGTGATAAATACATCTGGAGTTCAGCATGATGGTTTCCAAGTGAGACTACGTGGGGATTCACACGGGTGAAGCCTGCAGGATACGGCTAGTCTTAAATACGCCAATGCATCTTTGTTTCAGCTTACTGCAATGACGACCCCTGGTCGCGGCCGCGGGTACACTGGGCGGCACCATATCCGCGACCCCAGACCCGGGGACACGGACCTGGCGGACTTGGACGCCGCCAGGACACTAGCAGAACTCAGCCCACGCTCCACAGGTGAGAAAAGAATCCTTAGTAATATTATAAACATGAAATTGAGTTTGTTTTTTAGAGCTCTCAAACAGCTTCCCTAGGGGGGACGGGATTGTTTCTTTTTATAGCTGATAATTCAAAATTCAAAATTCAAAAATCATTTATTCATGTAGGACATTTTAGCCGCTTATGAACGTCAAATTTGTACATTATAATTTTATATTTTCCCTACCATCCAGTTCGGTATATAGATCCAATTGAGAAGAACTGGCAAGAAACTCAATTGAATTACTTTTTTTTTTAAAGCCAGTTTATTTACAATGTATATTTATATAGGTGTCTATGTCTAACATTAAATGAAAATTCAGTGCATGAACAACTATTGCCATGCACACTCGTCATTCAAGTAATCGTTTAGTGAGTAATAGGCTTTGCTCAGTAAATATGATTTAACAGATGTTTTGAATTTATTTAAGGGTAATTCCAACATATCCTTTGGTATCTTATTGTAAATTTTTATACCTATTCCCATAAAAGACCTATTAACTTTTTCTAAACGATACTTGGGGACAGCAAGATTTTTATGAACATATAGAATATTTGAATATATAAATTGAGAAGCAACGGTGAGAATATTTGCCTCTTTGAATTTCTCTCTTAATGAGTCATGACTCTTCATACAGTAGATCGCTCGAACGGCACGTTTTTGTAATATGAATATATTCTTAATATCTGCCGCTTTTCCCCATAGTAATATTCCATAAGAGAGTAAACTATGAAAATAACTAAAATAGACTAATCTAGCAGTATCAGTATCAGTGTACTGTCTAACTTTACGCACGGCAAAAGCTGCTGAACTTAGTTTCGCTGCAAGGCTTTGAATTTGTGCACCCCATTGTGTTTTATTATCTAGTGTGATTCCTAGAAAGACAGTAATTCGAGAGATTCGTCATTTAATTTAATATTGCAATTAGTATTAAAACTTTTAGATAGAGAGAAATTAACACATTTTGTTTTTTTAGCGTTTAACATAAGATTGTTAGTTGTAAACCAGTGCAGGAGACGCCGCAAAGCACTATTTACGGTTAATGGTTTAGTAACCCCACCCTCGCTAACGGTATACACCGGCGGGACGTCAGTGAAGGATGATAGATGAGGATGAAGCAGGTCAGTTAGCCCATTGTGGAGAATTCAACAAGACTTGTTCACGATGGTTTCCAGGGGGAACCATGTGGAGGTCGACATGATAGGGCATATTGGTAGCAATGGGGCTGTCAAACTCCATTGCTAACAATCCCTTTCACCCTTGAAAAGGATTGTTAGTAATGCAGACTCCTATTGCTAGCAATATGCCTTATCAAGTCAACCTCCACATGGTCGGCTTAGAAACCATCGTGTTGAATTCCAGGTGTATTCTTTAAGATGGGCTAACTGACCTGCCTTTTCATCCTCACCTATCACCCCTCACTGGTGCCCCGCTAGTGTATACCGATAGCGCAGGCGGGGTCACCATTCCATTATAATAAAAAAAAACAGCTTCACTATGAAATTTAGTATACGCGTTTACTACATGGGATGAAGAAGAATATAGGCTACTTTTTATTTTGGCCAGTGAACATATCCTGATCACGTAGACGAAGTTGCGGGTCAAAACTACGTAGTCCGAGAGGAAGGGATTCTTAGTAATTTCTACCGTGAAGCAGTTGTGTTTGCATGGCTGTGTTTCGGTTTGAAGGGTGGGATATGGCGTGAATTTACTGGGTACAGAGGAATAACATCTGAATCCTCAGGAATGGCAACACATGGGGGGTATCATGGGCGAAACAGTATACTTTGTTATGTCCATGGTACTGCTCATGTCAGGTGGGCCGTCAGCTTGTTTGCCATTCTAAGTTGTATAAAAAAAAGGTTAGTCCCCGTCGCTATCAATATACCTTATCAGGTCGACCTCCACGCGGTTTCCCCTGGAAACCGTCGTGACTAATTTATCGTTGAATTCGTCATGATGGACTAATTGACCTGCCTTTTCATTCTCACCTATCATCCCTCACTAGTGCCCCGTTAGTGTATACCGATAGCGCAGGCGGAGTTACCATTCCATTATCATTCATCAAAAAAAAAAGCAACGTAACCCATAAGTAGATTTAAAGAAATACCTATGACCTACTTACCTATGTTTAAAAACAAATTGAAAATTCCAAGATAAATTTGGGAATCCCCTTACAGCAATCAAGCGATTTTCGACCATGTCTCCCTTACTATTAGATATATTTACTAACGGCCCGTCCCGGCTTCGCACGGGTGGACATTTTTACGACATTTTAAAAAGTGGTTATTGTGACATAACGATAATAGTTGGACATATAGTGTCGCGAAGTGTTTTGTAGTTGTTGATATTTTCTTCAATATTGTAGAACATACTTTTGTTCTATCACCAATAGTTTCCGCAGCGCGCGCGACCAAAGATATTTTATAGCATTTTTTTACACCTTGAGTTACGTTACTAAAGTTTTAGTAAGGATCCCTAATCTTTTCTGGCAATAAATATAACCTATGTTACTCAGGGTGAATGTAGCTTTCTAGTGGTGAAAGAATTTTTGAAATCGGTTAAATAGTTTTTGAGTTTATTTATTACAAACATACATACACGCAAAAATACAAATCTTTCGTCTTTATAATATTAGTGTAGATTATATCGACCCTTTACTGTCCACTGTTAAACATAGGCCTCTCCCATTAGGGGGGTTTTGCCAGTAGTTTCCACGCTTGGCAGGCGTATTGGCAACCGCAGATGTTTCTAGAAGGTCGCTGCTGCCCATCCCTCACCCTCCCTTAGTCGCCTCTCACGACATTTAGCATTTTATTGCACCAACATTACAGGACTTGTTGAAGAATTTAAAGTAGTTGAGACATGTCTTCTATTCACAGAGTCCCGAGACAGAGAGAAGCCGGAGAAAGCGTCAGAGGTGGACCCGGAGAAGGATAAAGAACAAGAAAAGTCATTCACGAATGAAGAGGACGCTCTGAAGGAATTATTGACAGTCGATGAAGAGTATGCACCTTTGGTGACATTGGTAATTATTTTTATAACACTTCTACTGCTTTTATTCGTAGTTTAGACGCCAAATGGTTAACACTAAGCTCCGAATGGCGACCTAAAAATTTGCCTCAACATGCCTCGTTTAGAGAAACGTGTCGCAAAACGTGCGTGGACAAAATGGCTGTCGGAGATTGATGGCTAATATGGAAGGTTGTGGAACTTCTGGTAGTAATAATGGTGGGCACTCTTCGAGTGTTGGCCGTCCCACACATACTAATGGTGGCGGAATTAAACAAAATAATTCTAAGTGATATGTACTTCGGCAAGATAACACCTAGTTTTGTAAAATGCTGTTTTGATAGTGGCAACCACAAAGTTCTGTGGCGTGGTTTATCGAACGACGGTTTTGTCTACTTTTCTCACGGAGTTCAAAAAAGAGAATCTCAATTCGAGTGTATTTTTTTTATGTCTGTCACCTCATAACTCCGTCAGTTGTGAACCGATTCGGAAAATTCTTTCTTTACCTGAAAGGGTATACTTACAGATTAGCCTGATAGTAATTTTATCAAAATTGGTTCAGTAGTTAAGTTTTCTGATAAAAATAACTAGGTTTTGTCACATTTGAAAGTGGTATTTTTTGTAGGACACAATCTTTAATTATGTTTTTTTATTATACCACTGAGTTGGCAAACAAGCATACGGCCCACCTGATGGTAAGTGGTTACCGTAGCCTATGAACACCTGCAATACCTGAAGAAACCTCTTTACCCCCCTTTTGAAGAACCCCATGTTGTAGTCTCTTGGGAAAACCTCGGCAGGGAGCTCATTTCATAACCTGAGTGTTCGTGGAAGGAAACATTTCTGAAACCGCGCTGTACACGACCATTGAGGATGTAGGATATGAGGATGAACTCCCTGTCGATGGTGAACCGTACCATGCTAGAAAGTTTACTTTTTAGTTTCACTTAACATCTATTAATGTTTTTTCTTGCTTCCAGCTAGAGCAGTTCTCGCCGGGTGAAGATGGTATACAGTTCAACAGAAAACTGAAGCATTTTGAAGCGACAGTGACAAAAATGTGTCCAGATGAAGTCAGCTTACAGTTAGTACTTAGTATTATATTTTTATGCCACTTATAATGGCTCACAAGCTGACGGCCCACCTGATAGAAAGTGGTAACCGTCGCCTATAGACATGAGCAGTACCGTGGACATAACAGAGTATACTGTTTCGCCCATGATACCCCCCATGCGTTGCCATTCCTGAGGACTCAGGTGTTATTCCTCTGTACCATGTAAATTCACGCCATATCCCACCCTTCAAACCGAAACACAGCCATGCAAACACAACTGCTTCACGGTTGAAACACGAATGAGACAGAGGTACCCAAGCAATCAACTTTTGTACAAAGTCTCCCTCTGGTGTGTCAGATCTATTGGAACATACCATGTTATTTTACCATATGATGTTGTCTCCCCATAATTATAAGGGGGTAGTTTATATTCACACAAATTCATTATTTTAGATTATGTACATAGAACTTAGAGCCTCAAAAACGGGTCAACTTTTTGACAACTGGCTTACGCGTTATTTTCATCACTGTTCTATATATTTACTCATAAAATGTAACTTTATTACGCAAATTTGTATGAAAAAGTTGACCGAAGCATTTGTATGGAGACGCTCTATCTATATAAAGTTATTTATAGAATTAAAGGTATTGTCAGTGATGAGGCCTTTAAAAACATTAATGATACCCCCCCCCCCCCCACACAGTTTCCTCGCTAGTTCCTTCTTTGTCCACCTTTAACCAGAAATAATGAATGTGTTCATGTATCAGGAATGCGTTCGGCACATTCCGCGCGGCAGCGCTGAGGCACCCGAACACGGCGCGGAAGCTGGCGGCCGTCGGCGCCAGCTTCACGCGGCAGCAGCGCCAGCAGGTGCTGCGGGCCACGCTCCTCAACGTCGTCATGCAGGGCACATTTTCCAGTCAGTATCCTGTTTTATATACTATAGGGTATAGCCTTCCCCCATTGCTCATTCGCTGTTTTTTTTTTTATGGATGATAATTAAATGGTCGTTTGATCCCGGTATAGAATAGGCCACCCCTTCCTTTCCCATGCATGTCGTAAAAGGAGACTAAGGGAGAGTGAAGGGTGGGCAACAGGGTCCCTCTTAAAACATCACTAAAACCTAACTAGTGGTTGCCAATCTGCCTGCCAAGCGTGGCAACTACTGGCAAAACCACATAAAAGGGAGTCTCTGGTCAGCAATGGACAGTTAAAGGCTGTTATAATGATGAATGGAATGGTAACCCCGCCTGCGCTATCGGTATACACTGGCGGGGCACCAGTGAGGGGTGATAGGTGAGGATGAAGCAGGTCAGTTAGCCCATCATCACAAATACGATGATAAATTAGTCACCATAGTTACCAGGGAGAACCGCGTGAAGGTCGACCTGTTAGGGTATATTGATAGCAATGGATCTATTAGACCCCATTAATAAACTTTTCCCCTGGTTGTTACGGTTCAAAGAATGGGATATAGTAGTAAAATCCCATCCGAGAAATAGGTATTGGCGACCCGCACGCATGCTAAAGGTAAAGGAGTTAAGGGGCCGCCTGAAAATCAGCGCTATATAGGTACATCTCGCTGGAGCTGTACATATATAGCAACAGCCGAGGCGGCTCCAGCAACCAGCAACGTTAATTGTCTTTTTTTTTCTTTTTATTGTTGAAATTTTTTTATTTTCTTAATATTGATAATAAAGGTTATGTGTCTATCTAAAATTACATGGTGATTCTAACAGTCTGCATTACTAACAATCCCTTCTCCTGCGCCTAAATGTATAATGTTGCCATGTATTGTTTCAGAACTGGACGTATTGGAGAGGGCCAACCCTATATTTTTAATAAATGCTGCCAACCTCATGGGGGACTACTTTGCTGGTAAGTTATTTTATTTATTCATATATATATATATATATATATATATATATATATATATATATATATATATATATATATATACTAGCTGACTCGGCAAACGTTGTTTTACCATATACATTATTTTAAGAACTACACATGAAAATTTATCCTACTACAATTATTATATTGGATTGCCATCTTGCAACCCTATTGCGGCATATAAAAATCGCGATTAAAAAAACAGGGGTTGATCGTTAAACGGTGAAAATTTGAGGTTGTGTGTATTTTTCAATGCTAAATCATAATAAAATAAAAATGGAAAAATTTGTCAAAAAAATAAAAAAAAATTTTTGGGGAGGGTCACCCTTGTCATTGAGGGGTATGAAAAATAGATGTTGGCCGATTCTCAGTCCTACCCAATATGCACACAAAATTTCATAAAAATCGGTGAAAAAACGGTTTCACCGGAGGAGTTTGGTAACAAACACCGTGACACGAGAATTTTATATATAAGATGCTTTTATTAATTCACTTATAGTAAAGTTATTAGGTTATATAAAAATGTACACAGACAGACTTATCCGTTAAAGGTATTTCTTCAGTTATTCATTTCAGGGAATTATTATATTTAGTTACTTGTTAAAAATATGGGGTGTTTACGCGATGGTTTTTGAAATTTTGTGAGGGTGGCTATTTGTTAGTCTTTCACACAAATCTACTGGATGGATTTGAGTGAAATTTACTACATGAATAAGTTGTATCTTAAAAAACGATTTTTTGTTTGTTTGTTTATAATGATTAAACTCGAGAACTACTCAATTGGTTGTAAAAATTCTTTCGCATATAGAAAGCTACATTACGGAGTAAGATAGTCTATTTGTTTTTCTTAAAAAATAAATCAACGATGTAAATTATAATATTGTAAGCAATGGGATAGGAAATAGAGTCCGACAATGCAAAAGATGGGAGGATGAGCTTAAGCAGTGTTGATTACAACTGGAGATGAGTTGCAAAAGACAGAAAGCAATGGAAGTCGTTAGACGAGGCCTTTGGCAATAGGCACACTGCACTTCGAGACGTATTAGAATAAAAAAAATCAGTGAAAATCACACATAGATATAGGAAAGGAGCTTCGGGATTAAAGGCTATTAAAATTGTATGTAATCCAAGGTACCAATTTGCTTTAATGGTCGAACAATGCGTAACAGTATCCGTCTTAAAACATTACCGAAGTCTCACTGCGGTTGCCGACCATTCCTGCCAAGCGTGGCAACTACTGGCAACCGCCGACCCCCTCCCCCTCCTCCACAAAGGATGTTCAACAGTGCATAGTTAAGGGGTGAAAAAAATATTATAGTAATCTGTATTGGAATAGACTTGTTTACAAGCTCTTTTAAATCCCCAATTGTTTATAATTCTACTGCTTGTTTGTTCCCAGAGGCTCGTCTGTGCAATGGGCACAAGGTTCATATCCTGGCGGGGCCACTGTTGCAGTACTTGAGAGCGTTGCTCGCTTCTGACGACCTCCGGGCGCACCGCAGTCTCGCCACACAGGTACCTTCCGCTGTTCAAAGTCCAATATTTTCAACTTCTTCTTTCGATAAAAAGGCATTCTCAGTTATATTTTTTTATGTTTGTTACTTCACTCCATCATTTATGAATTGATTCAGAATTTATTTTTATGTAACTTAGAATGGCAAGCAAGCTGACGGTACACCTAATTGAAAGTGGTAACCGTCGCCTATAGACATGAACAGTACCATGGACATAACAGAGTATACTGTTTCGCCCATGATACCCCCCATGCGTTGCCATTCCTGAGAAGTAAAGTATTATTGTTCGGTACCCTGTAATTTCACTGCCATATTTCACCTTTCAAACCGTAACACAACCATGCAAACTTTACAGTTGAAACACGAATGGGACAGAGGTACCCAAACAAATGACTTTTGTACAAAGTCTCCCTTTGGTAAACTTTTTTCTTCTGGTTTCCTTTTTATTTGTACCCGAAATATTTCCTTACTTATAAAATTGGACACTTGTCTTTCCAGCTAATGCAAAATGGCCGAGAGCTCCTCTCACAGCACACGGCTCAGGAACTGGACGACCTGTCCATCTCAATACGTCTCCGTCTGCTCACACCGCCTCCGGTCAGCATCATATGGCTGCTCCTGTCAGCAGATCTGTGTTTGAACAAATTTCTACCACTACCAAACACACTGCAACAATTCTATGCATCACATCTAGAGTTAACCACCGACGAGAACTACTCTGAAGTCAGCTACGGTTCATGGAAGAAGAGTCCAGAGAAGGAGACCAAATCTGATATTAGTATAGATAGTCTCACGGAGAAAGCCAGTCAGAATCTCTCGCAGATAAATTTGAATCATGAGGACGATGCTAAACCGAAGTTAAGACCGATATTAGGCGCTGGCGCAGGTTTGTTGCGACAAGAACAAGCGTTATCGGTAGGTCAGGACAACTTCGAGACGTGGACAGCGAAGAATACTCTCTCAAAAAGATATGACTTGAACTCTTGGAGGCAGACAGAAGAGGAGAAGGAGGAGCCGGAAGTCTTCAACCCCACAGTTTTGCCTCCAAATTTTCCGACAGTTCCGGACTATCCGCCACCAAACCTGTACTACCCTGAGAACGTAGGGAATTACTTGCAGCAAGGAGATGGAACATATATACAGAATCAGTACTCCACACCCCAAAACTTCACCCCACAAGGAGATGCCTATGTTCATTACCAAAGTGAAAGGCCACCTAGTGTACCAGATAGAATTAACAATGAAATACAGAAGAACGCACAAAGAAGACCGGTAGAGAACTGGCGGAGAGAGAAGAGTGATTTAAAAGAAGACCCCAACAGGAATAGACAACGGAATTGGAATAAACACCAGTCCAAAGACAGTGTGAACGATGAGGAGGACAAAGAGAAGTTCAAGGATGGCGAGAAGTTCCCGAGGTCTGCGTCCCGGAATTCCCGGGACTCCAGGGATGCTCGGCCCGGCAATCGAACGGCCCGGCGGAATAGTGGCGAAAGTGAGGCCAATTCGACAAGTGGAACTAAAACTCCGATGCGGAGACACGTGACAGATGTGCCGCGGAATAACAAATATTGGGATCACGACGACCGGTGCGACAAAGACTATAATAGTTAGTGAACTTCGTAGTCCCGTGGGATTTTATCGTTCACAATTCAGGTGCCGACTTTTGGTGGCCTTTGGGAGACCGCTGTAAAATTATACTAAACACATTTGTGTATGTCGTTAAGGAATTTGTTCTTGACAGCACTATTTATTGTATTAAAGGTGAATTCATCATTTGGTTATGAATATTAAGTTGCTAGAAAAGGTAACTTTATATGTCTAAGGTTTATATGTCTAAAGCTGCGGCCATATTATCGAATGAAGGTATGCCACGCGTAGTCACGATAAATATTTCTCAACAAAGCAATATGTCTGTAACTTTATTGTTTTAAAATTTTGTAAGTACACATAATATTTTAATTAGTCGAAAAATGTCTACTAGTTTCGGAAACATTCCGTACTCTTAGTTTTGATTACACTTAAATTAAACCTGTAGTTGTTACATTAAAATATAAATGTATTTAACTATTGTTCTTTTTTTAAAATTGTATTCATTCGATAATCGTTGCAAGTAACGGGAACCAGAAATAATCAGTTAAGTCGACCTCCAGGTCCTTAACCATCGTGCTTGATCCCTTATGAAATCGCCACGATGGCAAACTGATCTGACCTGCTTTGGCCATTCGACAATGTGACCGCAGCGTAAAAAAATTCAGTCCACCGTCGGACAGTGTGATAATCCCATAAAGGCACCCACCGGTCAAATGTAACATTAAGATTAAATTTACCTGGATTTTTATAGTAAAATTTGCAAGTGCTAGCAATAAGGTGATCATTTTAGTGCAAAGTGAAAGGTAACGCGTAGCTGTATTTCAGAAGTATGTGAACTACATTAAATATTTATAATTTAACTGGTCCATAGACTAATTATATCTGTCCTTAGGGACTAACACAGCTTTGACATTGTTTTTTTTTTTTCTAAAAGGGGGCGTAGTCAAGACAAGGTTGGGACTAACACAGCTTTGACATTGTTCTTTTTTTAAAACGGGGTGTAGTCAAGACATGGTTGGGACTAACACAGCTTTGACATTGTTCTTTTTCTAAAAGGTGGCGTAGTCAAGACAAGGTTGGGACTAACACAGCTTTGACATTGTTCTTTTTCTAAAAGGTGGCGTAGTCAAGACAAGGTTGGGACTAACACAGCTTTGACATTGTTCTTTTTCTAAAAGGGGCCGAAGTCAAGACAAGGTTGAAATGTATGCTTATATGATGAAGGTAAAAAAAAATGCATACAACTGGAATACAACTGCATTATATCTTTTTAGACTTAAAATCATTCGTTTCTCAAAATTATTAATAAGTCTTATAATATGTATATTCTCGATATATGTGTGTATATTCTGAATATGTGGAAATTATGTGGAAATAATTTAAGAGTCCCATCAATTATGCATAATACTGACATTCACCAAATGTTGAGGTCAAGGTCCGGAATGTGGTCAATTCAAGGATTTGACCGGTCAATGTTGATAATCGAATCTCTAATGGAAATCACAAACTGAACCCCTTATTCATAATATCTTAAAACTGTCTACAATACTACTTTAACTATTACAGTTATGTCACTTTCTTGCAACTTTTACCAACGACTTCGTCTGTGTCAGTGGGTTATGTTAACTGACCCGTATAAAATGTAGCCTTATATCCTTTTCCATCCCATATACCCAATTTCATAGTGATTAATTAAGCCGTTAAGGCGCTATAACGTAACAAACAAACCCACTTTCACATTAATTTTGTTTGTTTTGAAATATTTAATTATATATATAATATTAATAAGGAGATATATAGACATCTTGTTTGGATAGGACTAGAGGTTTTTTCCACTAAGAAACTCTTACATTGACATATACTCCGGTCATATGGACGAAGTCGTAAGGAAAAACTAGTCAGTAATAAATAAGATGAAACTTCAACGAGTCCCGTCAAAGTTCTTAACTGAACTAGACTATAATAGTCTAGTTCAGTTAATGTTGACATTAACTTGTTATTTTGCGAATTGACCGCACACCCCACTTTGACCGCAACCGTTTTGTACCATGACATAGTGACAGGGTATTGCAATAAGAAAAAAAAAAAGAAATTACTTGAGCTGTTGTAAAATATATTATAATAAAGTTGTACAATCTATACTTACGTTTTTAGCGAGAACAATTTTGACGTTTATTAGGCTGTATGGGCCATGCACTTTGCCTGTCTTATTTAGACGAATTATAAAACAACAACATGACGTGTGTGTAAAACCTTAACTTGTTCCACTATAAGAACAAGGAAGGATAAAATAAAAACTGTAAATCATACGGTCGCCTCCTTTCTTTCTTATGCAAATATAATTAGTGAAAAGAGGACGAAAGATACACCGTCAGTTGCTATTTTTGTATATTTTCATCCCGGTCGATAAACATATGACTGTATTGCAAGCGAAGTCGCAGTTATAAGTTACTACATTGTAATTTAATACATTTCACAAAATATGTTTACTGTAAGCCAGTGAATTTATTTTTAATTAATTTACACTATCTCAAGTAATTTTTTAACAATTATTTACTGTGCTCGCCAATTTTCATTCATAAATTTAATTAAAAAAATAATTAAATATCCGATAAAATATTTTGTAATCATAATAATTTGCATTTAATTAATTCTAAATTAATAGTTGTTTAAAATTATTCACCGCAATTACAATATCAGTTTTAGTGATTTGGCAAGCATATTAAAAATAAAATACTGGTAGACCCTTTAATTATTCCGATTTCTGACAAGAGTGGAGAAGTTACAGATTTGTAATTCTCTTTGAAATATTTAATTAATTATTAATTAATTAGAAATTATTAATTATTAATTAACATCGTATCTGAATATTTTGACATTGTATGTACATATATACAGTACATTGCATAGTGTATTTTTATTTTTTTTATTTTTAATGCTCACACGATTATTGGGGAGTCGTAACTTTAACCAGAACTAAGAAGGTTCGGTTCAGACCGAATGGAACATTTGACTAAAAACCTGTATTGGAAAGGCCCATATAAAATTTTCTAAACTTCTCCATTCATAATCGCACTCTTAAAGCAAAAATAGACCAAAATGCACAATTAGACCATTGCAGAAGAAAAAAGTTACAAGGCACTGAGTTATAACAATGTAATGCTCAGGAATGGCAACGCATGGGGGGTATCATGGGCGAAACAGTATACTCTGTTATGTCCATGGTACTGCTCATGTCTATAGACGACGGTTACCACTTTCCATCAGGTGGGCCGTCAGCTTGTTTGCCATTCCATTATATTTTAACGTAATACGCGTAATTGGATCGAGAGATTGACTAGTTTGGGGACCATTTCAGCCCACACCTCGCGCTCAATCAGCCGAGGCGCGCATTCACAGCCGCCCATGATTAAGGATCACGAATCGGTCGTGAAACTAGTCGAGCTCTCTCCATCTAATTACACGTAAGTTAAACCGGTATTTGTAAAATTAAAATATAATGCGTGCTTACGAAATTTTTAATAGTAAATTCTAAGTTGTTAGAAAACCAAAAATATCGACCCATTATTTTTTACCTATATTCACAAAAAGCAATATAAATATCGAAAATAGGTTTTAAAAAAAATATTTGACGTTTTTATGAATAAACAATTTTTTGAACCTTGCCTTGATGATTACGTCATTAAAACACTTTTTTTTTGTAAATTTCTATTTTGGGTCTATATTTACTGAAGATGCGACACTAAGTTCTGTACATATATGTAATCTTAGATTATATAGATAGAGTGTCTCCATACAAATGCTTCGAGAAAAACGGCTCAACTTTTTCATACAATTTTGCGTGATAAATAGTTACGAGTGTTTCCTTTATATCTTATATTCGCATATGGGGTCAGCTAAGCTGTTGCACGTCGACCCGTCGGGATCTTTTGTACTTCCCCCTGCCTTATACAATGTTTCCTTTATAACTTCTATATTTATTTTGTCTTATAATTTCTGCATCTTTCTAATGTGTAAACACTCATTTTGTTTATTAAACAATACGTCAAGATACATTGTGTGCGTAAGTATATAGAACACTGATACAACAAACGAGTCAGCTAATTTGACAATTAGCTGACGATCAGTTGACACGTTTTTGAGGCTCGACGCTCTATCTATATAATGTAAGTATGTAACATAACCCACCATGATTAATTTGTATACAAATGTGTATGTATGTATTTGAAATTGAAATATATACCATACATACCCTGGAGAAAAATCTTTCCCATATATATATATAATAATAATAATGTAGTTTTATTAAATCATAGTTTTTGCTCAATCTTATTTTGTTTAACCCTTTCACTACAAAATACAATTATGTCATTTTATCAACCATTAATTTAATGTTTTTTTTTTGCCTATTTTTTTATATAACTTAAAATGGCAAACAAGCTGACGACCTACCTCATAGAAAGTGGTAACCGTCGCCTATAGACATGAGCAGTACCGTGGACATAACAGAGTATACTGTTTCGCCCATGATACCCCCCATGTGTTGCCATTCCTGAGGACTCTGCCATATTTACCCTGTAAATTAATGCCATACCTTTCCAATTGAAACACAAAAAGGTAGCATAAAGGTGGCTCAGGACCATTCTTTATGACAGTCTATGGGGGAGGCCTATGTCCAGCAGTGGACGAAGAATGGCTGAGATGATGAAGCTAACATTATAAAGAGCATATATTTATATTTATTAGGATTTTATTAAAAAAAAGACTTCAATTGTGGCAAAACCAGTTATTTTTATTTTAAAAATTAAATTACTGGACTGATTTTGATAAGATTTCTGTGATAGTAATTTGCAGGTATATCCTTTCAATTAAAAAAAGAATTTCCCAAATCGGTTTACAACTGAGAGTTATGAGGTGACAAACATATATACATATTGTCTTTTGTAAATATTAGAATTTGGATATGAATTTTAAATAATAAAAAGGATAATACAAAATTTAAATAATTAAAGAAAAATAAAACTAAATATTTCAATAGTAGACTTTTATTTCCAATATAAATTGTACATTACTCACGCGGTAGATAGTATATTATCTTCACGCTACAACCTTTATGGACAAGACAGAGAGGTACATAATAACTTGTATATTACAGTACTATACTTTGGTACCAGATTCACACTCAAAAGGAGCATATATTTAAGCAGACTTCTTACTATAATTATTATAATTACAAATTAAATACTTACCATTTATATTTTTGGACATTTTTAAAGTTATCTACCTAATCAGGGCCGGATTAATCACTTCAGAGTCGGGGCCCCCAGCCAATGCTCATCTTGCTTACAAGTAACACGAATAAAATTTTACTCGTACCTTTCCTTCACTAGATTGCCCGCTAATTAATTATTTTCTCTCTAACTACACTGGGTTGGCTGGAAGAAAAAAAATAATTTTCCAAAGCGGTTTACAAATGACGGAGTTATGAGGTGACAAATATAAAAAATACAACCAAATTGAGAACCTTGCTCTTTTTAAAGTCGGTTAAAACTGCTGTATTATGACTCCACATATACTATTTGAAAAAAAATGCTGGGGCGCGGGCCCTTAACCGATGGGGGCCCTAGTCAATTGCCTACACTGCGTAATGGATAATCCGGCCCTGTACCTATAAACCTTTTGAAAGCTTGGTTTTGTAGCAGTCTCTATGCCCCCAGCGCTGGACTTAGATTTGCAAATTTATATTGTTTTTTAAATATTTCTATAAGTAAAATATTATAAATTTTGGTTCTAACATCATCACGTTAACTGTCCACTTCTGAACACAGGCCTCCCTTATAACCGGTAATCGCCAGGATCGGCTGGCGGGTTCACAACCGCAGTTGCCAATCGTGACAACTGCTGGTAAAATCCTCCTTATGTGGAAGGTCTGTGATCAGCAGTGGACAGTTAACGGCTGATATAATGATGATGATGACAAAATATTTTTTTAATGCAACTTAGAATGGCAAACAAGCCTGCCGACCCGCCAGTTGGTAGCGGCACCGCAAATCTCTCAAGTCTCGGGGGCCCACGCAGGCTGAGACCCAGCTGGCAAATGCCACCTCGACTTTATGACCAGTCCGACGATGACGAGAGAAGAGCAATAGCCTTTTAAAATATTACCAAAGTCTATTTGCAAAGCCAACCCGCCTGCCAAGCGTGGCAACTACTGGCAAAACCACCCCAAGGGAGAGGCGTATGTCCAGCAGTGGACAGTTAAAGCCTGATGTGATGAGTATTGGACATCAGCGAACTGTCTTATGGTCAAGTCGGTTATTCGTTTGTTTACATTTTCATTTAGTTCTATTGAAATAAACTACACACACACACACACAATTTTATTATATAATATATACTGTAATTTACCTAACTACAAATGAGAGATCTATCTACTTATGTGAATATAACAAAGCGAAATTGGAGGGAAAGGGATTGTTAGTAATGGAGACTGAGAATTCCATTGCTAGCAATATACCCAACCAGGTCGACCTCCTCGCGGTACCCCCTAGAAACTATCATGGTTAATTCCTGATGAATTCATCATGATGGGCCAACTGGCCTGTTTTCATTCTCATCTATTGTTGAATTTGTTACCATGGATTAATTGGCCTACCTTTATCCTCATCTATCATCCCTCACTGGTGCCCCGCCAGCGTATACCGATAGCGCAGACGGGGTACCTATTCCTTTAAAAATCTGTTTTTTGAAGAATTCCAAGCTGCATCGAGCTCTTTCCATGTTATTGTATTTCACTAAATAAACTATTATTGTATGGAACAGGTAATAGGATGGGTGAGTAGATAGTTGAGCAGAACTGGGGTCCCGGCGGCCACTTCCAGCTGCATGCCCTCGTCTAGCGGCTCCTCAGCCTCCTCCGAGGATACCGACATCTTCTCCTTACCTTCGATGAGCAGATCGGTGGATGTATTGTCCCCGGGAACTGTGTCTATGAATACCTGCGGAGAAGTCATAGAGATATGGCAGCGGATCTACTGGGTACGGAGGCGTACCTTCAAACCAAAACACAGGGGGGAAAGGGATTGTTAGTAATGGAGACTGGGAATCCCATTGCTAGCAATATACCCAACCAGGTCGAGCTCCTCGCGGTTCCCCCTGGAAACTATCATGGTTAATTCCTGATGAATTCATCATGATGGGCCAACTGGCCTGTTTTCATTCTCATCTATCGCCCTTCACTGGTGCTCCGCCAGCGTATCCCGTTACTTTATATACCGGAGACTTTATACAAAAGTCATTTGCTTGGGTACCTCTGTCCCATTCGTGTTTCAACCGTAAAGCAGTTGTGTTTGCATGGCTGTATTTTGGTTTGAAGGGTGCGATATGGCGTGAATTTACAGGGTACTGAGGAATAACACCTGAATCCTCAGAAATAGCAACGCAGGGGGGGGGGGGGGGTGTCATGGGCGAAATAGTATACTCTGTTATGTCCATGATACTGCTCATGTGTATAGGCGACGGTTACCACTTCCCATCAGGTGAGCCGTCAGCTTGTTTGCCATTCTAAGTTGTATAAAAAAAAATACATAAAAAACCACGGGTGGCCTATTCTATGCCGGGACCACACGGCATATAATAATTAAATTTAATAAATACAACAAATAAACGTAATATTGATTGTAACTAATTATGAATTGAGAATGATTTAAGACATAGCTAAAACTGACATTGCTGTAATTTTTTTATTAAACTATTTATTAATTAATTTTACAATATGAATATAAATAATTATAAACTAGAGAATATATTAAATAACTATATAATACTAATAACAATTACGATATGAATAGATACACACCAATACTTAAATAATGAATAATAATAATACAGAAAATACGTCCCTATCATGATACAATATCAATGACTGGATAATACTGTAACAGATCCTTAGACTATTTCTAAAGTGAAAGAAGTGTTGTCCTCCTCTCTCGTGCTCGCTGTGCCCAACAGGGTCCATAATTGAAATGTTATCTACTAATTATATTATGGAATGCAATAAGAAATAAATAAATAATTTCATGATAGGTTTACCTCGTCATCGTCGTCTTCCTCGTGGTACTGCTCGACGGGCTGTGCCGCCGGCTGTGCGACGTACCGCGGTGAGACATCGCTTTCGTCAGAGGTGTACCCTTCGCTCTCGTCGCAGTCGAAGTAACGGCTCTGAAAGTATCATTTAAATATATATGTATTACCCAGAGGGAGACTTTGTACAAAAGTCGTTTGCTTGGACACCTCTGTCTCATTCGTGTTTCTACCGTGAAGCAGTTGTGTTTGCATGGCTGTATTTTGGTTTGAAGGGTGCGATATGGCGTGAATTTACAGGGTACTGAGGAATAACACCTGAATCCTCAGAAATAGCAACGCAGGGGGGGGGGGTGTCATGGGCGAAATAGTATACTCTGTTATCTGTGTAAATGGTACTGCTTCTGTCTGGCGACGGTTACCACTTTCCATCAGGTGGGCCGTCAGCTTGTTTGCCATTCTAAATTGTATAAAAAAAAATATTAAGAGAGACGCTGCTGTTCATTCCTCGATCATTAAGCTCCCATAGACGGCTTTTACGACTCATAGCGTGATGAAAAGTATACTATAACCTGCCCGGGAGTATGAAGAATAATTGTACCAAGTTTCGTTAAAATTTTGCAAATATATTTCATGTACAGAATTGACCTCTCTACAGATTTATTATAAGTATAGGATTGTACATAAATATGTATTTATTATTATTATTATAGCTTTTTTTAGTTTTATCCACTTCAGTGGTCCCCAAGGGTAAAAGCCTCCTCCATCTTTTTCCACTTCTCCTTATCTATAGCAGTACTTGTCCAGTTTTTTCCTGCTGTCTTTATTATGTCATCTGCCCATCTCTTTCTTTGCCTTCCGACATTTCTTTTTACTGCTGGACCTCGCCATTTTGTTGTTTGGGGAGTCCACCTTTTATCTTTGTACCTCACTATATAACCTGTCCATCTCCACTTCTGTTACATACTATACTGAAGAGCATCTGTTATTTTGGTTTTCCTCCTAATATCTATGTAATATATATGTATTACATTGTTATAATTTATATTAAATGTACACGTATGTATGTATGTATGTACAACAAGATTTTTCATTATCATTAAAGTATGTTGATTAAATATATTTAATTTAACAATATAAATATTACGAATAGGCGGAAATATCGAGAATATAAGACAATTGTTAAACAGCCATATCTAACTCAAAGGGCAGTGAACACGTGGCACACAACGTGGCATTGAGGTCGCACAAGACTATGTAACGAGGTTACCAGAATCAAGCACAGCGACGTCATATTTCTAATCATAATCAAGAATTTTTTATACATATAACAGTTAATTTAACTTGAAAAACTAAACTATTAAACCGACTTTTTTTTTATTTCTATGCGACCAATCCGAAGTCTTAAATTATATATGTAGATAGAGTGTCGAGCCTCAAAAAACGGGTCGACTTTTTGTCAGGTAATTTGAAAATTTGCTGACAAAAAGTTGACATGTTTTTGAGATTATTACATAAAAATATAATTACAGTAAATACTTTTATTACACGCTGGATGGCCATCACCATGGCCATATGGCCATTAGGGATAGCTTCCTATCTTTGTGTGGCATAAAATAGGCCACCCGCATATAGAAAGCTATCCCGTGGGTGTCGAAAGAGGCGACTAAAGGTACTTAATGGTCGAGCGACGGGCAGAAGCCTCCCTTTTGAAATATTACTAAAAACCTAACTGCGGTTGCCAACCCGCCTGCTAAGCGTGGCAACTACTGTTCAGGAGTGAAAAATTTACAGCTTATATGATACGGTATGGTATATGAACTTTACAATTACTCAAAATTTCCAAAAAAATGCCCAAATTTATTCAAACTCAATTCATACTTTTCCAAAAATCTCCAAGAGCTTCATTGGGTGATCCAATCCTACACAGTAAGCCTGTGTGTTGTAGAACTGCTTTAACTTTTAACCATCTGACGTTTCTCCCAACACTAAATCACCAAGTGTACAAAAAAATCTCCAAAATTTCACTAAGTACATTTTTACCCAAGCTTGCGAAATAGATACCCAGTCTGGCAACATTACAGGGACACGAGTTCGTTATATATCCTATTACATTTGTTTACAGTATAATCTATATCAATAAAACATAATGGAAAATGTAAACAAACAGACAAAGGGCGCGACAGAACTGTTTGCTGACCTCTAATAGTAATACAAATAAAATATAGATTAATTAAATTTAATGTTCCAATTTATTAAAAATTTCATTTAGAGAATATTTCTGAAATAATTTAAATTCAACGTAGTTGTTTTTAAGTTTTATTTTTTTTTTTTTTTTAGTACGTTTGTTCCGTTTGGAACAGGCTAAGGTCGGAGACCATGCTGCCTAGTCTTCAAAAAGATAATTTGTCTGGAATTTTATTTTTCTAATATCGCTTCAATTATTGTCATAATCTTCAATATTTCATTTGTCAAATCCGGTAAGTACATTTTCATAAATATCTTTTCTTGAGTTTTCTTAAACCAGTGGATTTATCAAATTAAAAATAAATAATTATAAAAAATCATTGTCTTGCAATTCAATAAAAGTATTCTTATAGCTCCTTGAATGTGGTAGTAATATAAGTGAAAATAGCTTTGAAACAAGAAGGAAATCTTAAGAGAATCGGGATTGAGTGCGGGATATTTTCGGGTTTTTTGAAGATAATCCTAAGTTCGTCAAACATAATGTGTCTTTGAATGACAAATTCAGAGCAATCAAAAAAAAGGTGATGTAGAGATTGGGCTGTATTTGAGTTACACCATGTGCATGATGGGGAAGCAATCATGCCCATTCGGTGCAGGTGTTCGTTGAAATGTCCGTGGCCGATTCGTAATCTACAAATATTGGTGTAAAATTTTCTGTTTGTGTCCTTTCCTTTGCAGAACCACGGTTTTCCAATACGCCAATTAATTTTGCGGTACCATTTGCCTTTAGTCTGTAATATTTGAGTCCAATGCTCCTCCCATTTAGTTGTAACGATTTTATGTATTCCAATACTACAATCTGAGTAACAAAGGGATAAATCTTGAACACGAGCAGCACTTGAATTAATAATTTTAGCCAAAGTGTCTACTTGTTCATTCCCAAACACTCCAATATGTGAAGGGGTCCAGATGAAGATAATATCTTTTCCATATATAGTACAGAGATGATAATATTTATTACGAATTTCTTGAATTAAGTAGTTTGATGATGAAATGAATGTGTTATTTTTTAATGCCATAAGAACACTCATACTATCTGTAATTATAATCCATTTCGAATATAGTACCTGTTTTTCTATGTATTCTAATGCTAAAAATATAGCTTTTGCTTCTGCTGTGTAAATACTAGCCAAAGTTGAAATTTTATAACCGTGACCAAATCTATTTGACAAATCGTAAAAAGCCACTGAAGTGCTAAGTGCATTTTTGGAACCATCTGTATATATCTGCCTGTAGTCAATAAATTCTGATAAAGTCTCATACATATCGTGCTTTTCTTTTATGTCTTTACGTATAACAATTTTGATCTTACAGAACTTACTCTCATAAAGGCCATTATAACAAGGAAGTATCTTACTACTATAGATGTTATATTCATCTCGTAAATTCAAATCATTGACAATAGTTTTATTCAAAAACATAGAAATGGGGCAATTTAATAATTTGAGTATGAGTGGGTTATTGGAAACTGAAAAAACTTTGAAGAGAAATTTGAGTTTTAGATATTTGAAACGAAGAAGGATAGGAGGCAAATTACATTCTACTTGCATTGAGATAATTGGAGAAGTATACATAGCACCTAAAATAAGTCTTAAATTCATATTTTGAATTTTTTCGAGTTTTTCTACTAATTTATGTTCTGAGGCATAACAAAAGAAAGCGTAATCAAAATTACTTCTAACAAGAGATTTGTAAAGTAAAAGGATAATTTTAGGATCAGCTCCCCAGTTACGACCAATTACAGATCTTATTATATTAGTGGCTCTTAAAGCACGATCTACTAAGCAATCAACGTATAGATCCCATTTTAAATTTTGATGAAAAATTACCCCCAGAAATTTAACGCTACAGTCTGTTGGAAGAGTTTGATTATTATATATAATATTCATTAATGGAACATATTTATGAACTTGATGAAAAACAACTACTTTACTTTTGGTTAAACTAATATCGAGGGAAAGAAGAGAAAAATATTTCTCAAGTCTTTTTAATGACTCATTTAACACTAATTGCATATCAATAATATTCTTTCCTTTTATATAAATTAATAAATCATCGGCAAATTGCAAGTTGTTCACACTGTTTCCTAAAATTGAATTAAGTTTATAGATATATAAAATATATAGTAGCGGGCTTAGAATACCACCTTGACATACTCCTTTAGAGCTTAACCTAGGTCCTATTAATTTACTATTTACTTTAACATACACTTCTCTATTACTAAGAAAATTATAAATCCATTCGATAAGTTTCATTGGAAGAAATGAGGATAAAATCGAAGATAGAACTGTTAAATTTACATTGTTAAAAGCTCCTACGACATCTAAAAAAACAGATAGAACATATTCATCGTTATTCAAAGCAGTACTAAGGTCGACATAGAAGTTCGCTAAACTTTCGCGCGCTGAATATCCACGGCGAAAACCAAATTGATTCGATGGTAATATACTATTACTTTCAATAAAGAACTCTAAACGCTGTTTAATTAATTGTTCGAATAATTTGCCTGCACAGGACGTCAATGTTATAGGTCTATAGGAGTCGAAATTTGTAGGATCTTTACCGGGTTTAATTACTGGAATCAAACAATCCATTTTCCATTCTGGTGGGATAATACAGTCCTTCCATAAATCGTTAAAAATTTGTAAGAGTTTAGTAAGGTTTATTTTATTCAGCAATCGAAACATATTGTATGTTAAGCGATCAAGGCCACTAGCTGTATCTTTTCTAGATTTTACTGCACTGGATATTTCATCAATTGAGAATGGGTCAGTGAGAAATTTTGGGCATGAATTAACAGAATTAAACTGTTTGTCATCAAAAGGTGAGTGTACAAAATCAGGAGTATATTTGCGTAAAAAATCATTGACCCATGATATATCTTTAAAATGATTTTGACGATGTTTTGAATTTAGTTTTCTCATATTTTGCCAAACAGTGGAAATTGGTGTTAATCTATTAAATTTGGAACAAAATTCCTGCCACCCCTGTTGTCTTACTTGCTTAATTACTAACTTTTTAACAGCTTGAACTCTTTTAAAATTTATGTAATTATCGAGAGTTGGATTTTGTTTAAACCTAAGGTAAGCCGCTTTACTATCATTGACAGCTGTCGCACACCTGTTATTCCACCAAGGTACTGCAATATGTTTGTGCCTCTTTGAAGTATTTGCACCGCTATTTGATAAGTTCCTACGTGGAACGGAACGTTCCACAGCTGTCAAAATAATTTTACAGAATCTATTGTAATTGTTTAAGGGTTCATTGACATCATACTCGAAATCCAAAAGTAATCGATTAACAGTTTCAGAATAAAGATCCCAATTAACGAGACGTAGGTTTATACGATTTAACAAAAGTTTATTAACTTCATCTATAGGAGCATGTTGTTCACCTGACGGAGTTGATGAAGAGTTCTTTGTGTTTATTTTAGTAAAAGTCGGCAGGTGATAACTTCCTAACGGATCATCATGAACCGACCACTCGCATTTTAATGATATGGATGGGGATACCATAGTTAAATCAAGGCCATTGGGTCTCCAAATATGAGAGCCAACAGTAGTAACTTGCTTATCATTTAATAGTACCAAATTACATTCATCTAAACAATCAAGAATGTCTTTACCTCTTGTATTAGTGGAGGTACAACCCCACATAGTATGATGTGCATTTAAATCTCCAGATATGATAGTGGGTTTAGGAAGAGACTCCAAAAAGAACTTAAATTTGGCTTTAGTAAAACTAGGTGTACTATTGGTAGGACAGTAAATACTGGCAACTGAATACCAAGAATTATTAACTTCAATACTAATAGCTATAGTTTGCAAAGAATTGTCGAAAAAAGAGTGAAGTTTTTTATATCTAATACTATTATGTATAATAATCGCTACTCCATTGTGGTTATTACCACAATCATTTCGTTCTATACAATAATCTTTAATTTTTAATTTGTAATGTGGTTTAAGCCAAGTTTCTGAGATGAGAGCAATGTGAATATGATGTTCATTTAAAAATTGTGTAAAAATATGTCGATTGCTCAGTAGGCTCTGAGCGTTCCACTGTATGATAGTTAATTGGTCTCGATTGAATTTTGTGAAATAGGTCTATTACCAAAAGTATCATATAACACATTCAAAACACTTTTAGTGTTAATAGATGTGTTCTTTGTGTTATGTAGTGAAATAAGTTTGATTATGCTTTCTATTAAAAGTGATAAACTCTTGTTATCAGAATTTAGAATTGAAATTAGGTCTACATTTTTTTTAGGTTTGTTACCCAGTTTAGGAAATATTTCAGTGCTAAGTATATCTCCAAAAGAAGCAGGTCTGAATTTAGATCTATTTTCAGCAATTTTCTTTTGTTTAACAGGGCATTGCGGTGATACACTTGTGTGATTTCCATTGCAGTGTACACAAATAGCGTTTTCCATTCCAGTTGTACAAGTTTTATAATTATGCTCACCTTTGCAGATGCTGCAACGCTCAGAATTCTTACAGAATTTAGCTAAATGTCCATACCTCAAGCACCGGTAGCATTGTTTAACTGGTGGTATATATGGAGTGACATTGTGGCGCCAACCTCCAATATCCAGATATTCAGGTAATACAGATGCAGCAAAAGTAATTGTCACGGTTAGAGTTGGCTGTAACACATATCCATGAGTCAAGGTATTTTTTCTTAAAATTCTTTTAATAGCAATAATTTTCTTAGAACTCGATATCATAGTATATATTTTTTTATTTGATATATTTGTAGGTACATTTCTAATAACGCCTGTAACTTCTGTTGAAGAAGCAGGAATACTGGCCTTAAAATGGTAGTCATTTAAAAAAGTTTTATTATTTAAAAAAGCATTGGCTAAGTCTGGCTTTTGAAAGTATACTCCGATTTTGAATTTATTTATAGATCTAAGATAAGTTACCCCTTTATTAAATCGTTTTAAACAGGAGGAGAGTGAGAGCAAGTCTCTGGATCCAATGGTTTTCTGACTATCTGAGGATTCTACAAAGACAACAAATTCTGTCCCAGGGGATTCCTCGGGATATCTTCTAATATAATCTGTGACGTAGTAAGGTTTATACTTATCGGCCTTATCAATTTCAGATTCTGAGTCAGTAGAAGTATCTTCCGAATATATATCCTTGTCATTACAAGGTTCATGGTCTACATCACCTGAATCGTCATCTTTTTTTTTCCTTTTTCTACAACTGCGCTTCCCCATGAATGCTAATTATATTACTGTCGCTGAATTTAGTGAGAATATAATATTTTATTCAATAATAAGAATTGATAGAGATAGTTTTAATAAATTAATAAAAAAAATTTAAAAAACCCGCTTGTTCTTATTCGAGTTTCCCGCCTTTTTTTTTCTTTTAAGTTTTATTAAAACAGATTATTATGCCTCGTAAGCGAAACTTTTTTTTAATGAGCAAAAAGAAAAGTACACCTGTGCTGTCAAATATTGACTTTTTTTTTTAAAAATACACAGATGTCAAACAGCCCACCTGATAAAAAAATGGCAACCGTCGCCTATACATTTGAACAGCACCATAGACGTTTCGGAATATACAATATACTAGAGGGAGACTTTGTACAAAAGTAGTTTGCTTGAATGCTTGAGTACCTCTGTCCCATTCGTGTTTCTACCGTGAAGCGGTTGTATTTGTATGACTGTGTTTCGGTTTAAAGAGTGGAATATAGTAGTAAATTTACAAGGTACAGAGGAATATCTTTATTATAATAACACCCGAGTCCTCAGAAATGGCAACGCATGGGTGAAACAGTATACTCTGTTATGTCCATGGTACAGCTCATGTCTATAGGTGACGGTTACCACTTTTCATCAGGTGGGCCGTCAGCTTGTTTGCCATTCTTAGTTGCATAAAAAAATACTGTAATGCTCACCCTAAATGTGTTGCCATTCCCGAGGACTACAATATTTTTTTATAAGTAAAAACTAAATAATAACTCCGCCTGCGCTATCGGTACATGCTGGCGGGGCACCAGTAAGGGGTAATAGATAGGGGTACCTCGGCTATGCCTCGGCCTACATTTGCATATTGCATGCATTGCATCCATCAATGCCTCAGTTGTTGGCCGCTGCAGTAATGTATTATTATTCTGGTGAGTTTTTTATTAGATGTCGTTTACGGTATACGCGATAAAAAGTTGCAGGTCAGTTAAGAAGTACCCATCACTCGGACTCTATTTTGATTTCTCCTCGGAGAGTATATCTGCGCTAAATATATAAATTATCTATTTAACATATTTATATTAATTATATCAGAAAAAAAATGTATATAAAATCGTAAAGGTATATTATATTATTTTACGATAGACGAAACGTAATTTTCATATAACGAAACGAAACGCAAAATTATTGATGTTATGTTGGCACGCTTGCGCAGTTGGAATTACATTCCAATCAATGCAAATTTCAATCAGAATATCACACTAAAACACTAGTGACTTGCAGATCAAAAATATTATTTTTATATATTACAAATTACTGTAATAGTATTTATAGAAAACTATAAAAATCAGTATATTAATATGTACGTATACATAGTTACATAATTTTATTTCACCATAGAATTAAAAAATAACTTGAAACGAAACAAAATAAACAGGAGTGGCAACACAACAATGTATTATCTTTTATGAATTCAGATAATCTGTCAAAAATGACGACATAATTAGCACGAAAATATCACTTTTCATCAAAACAAAGGGAACTGTCGTGATTATGAGTCGTAGCTAGTAAATTAGAAGCATAATTCCGCCATAACAAAGGTTCAAACAGTGTAAAACATTTAAACGAAATTGACAAAGCTATGTTTTAATTGCCTTAGAATCTACTTATGTGATTGTGTACATTTATTAAAAATAAAGTCGTATAGCGACCATGGCTGCTGCGTTAGCTAACGACTCGCCTAAATACAGAAACAGTTTGATATGTTGCAGTCCAAGGACAATCGAAGCTGACTCTATAACGCCATCATCATCTTCCACTTCTGGATGCGTGTCAGCGGACGAGAGTTACGACTCTAGCTTACCAAGAGCGATAGTGAATAAAAAACTAAAAATCCACGGCTCCGCGTCACGAGAGGAAGTAGAAAGAGCGATAATACAATGTAAGGAATTGGTTTTATCGAGTGCGCAGTGTTCCGACGAACGAAAATGGTTAGTGCGGTATTTAGTCGAGTTAAGATGGAGGCTGGAGGATTTGAAGGAGAACAATGGGGAGTCCAGACAACGTGTTTCGATAAAGGGACATCATTTTATAAAACAGACAACGATATCTAGCAGAAAACAGTATTGTGATCATTGCAGTGGTGTTATATGGAGCATAGTGCAAGCATCGTACGTTTGTACTGACTGTGGTTATCTGTGCCACTGTAAATGCATAGATCATGTGTGTAGAGTCTGTGCACATGTTGTAATGACCGAAAAAGGTGAGTTCGAAATGAGTATATGCCCCGAAAAAGGACTCGCCGCTCAAGATTATAAATGTGCTGAATGTGAGACAACCCTAACATTTAAGGATTTGTGGAACGAACCTCGTCTCTGTGACTACACTGGCCTATATTTCTGTGGTACATGCCATTGGAATGATATGTACGCGATCCCAGCACGAGTCGTCCACAACTGGGACTGGGAGAAGCGTTATATATCACGTATTGCATACCAGATGCTAACATTATCATGGACACGGCCTTATATTGATGTGGAACAGATAAATTCTAAATTGTTCAACTTTATAACAGAGTTACAGTGGGTTCATAAAATGAGGACGGACTTGCAATGGATGCGGCGGTACCTATGCGCTTGCACAGAAGGTACAACTCTATTGTCTCCGTTATTTGTTCAGCTCGGAGATGTCAACAACAAGTATAGCATGGCACATTTACAAGCTATTAATGATGGATCATTAGAATCTAATTTGACAGAATTAACGGAAATCTGTCGAGCCCACATAACGAAATGTGAATTGTGTTCTGGCAAAGGTTATATTTGTGAAATCTGCAGTAACAATGAAGTGATATATCCATTTGACAATGGTGCAATAATGTGTGAAAAGTGCAACTCTGTCTACCACAGAAGTTGCTGGCTACGCAAGGGACAGAACTGTTTAAAATGCATCCGTTTGGAGGAACGTAAAAAAAGTAAAACTGACGATGATGAGATAGATTCAAATGTAGAATATGACATAGATAAATTTGTTGATTAATAATTATTTTTTTATCTGTGTTTTAACCATTTTTTTTTTGTTACCTGACCTGTTAATAATAATTTCAACTAACTTCTAGTGTAAGACATTATTTTGTATAATTTATAATTCCACACTAACATTATAGTAACAATTCCTTTGAATCAAGTTACATTCTATTCGTAATTTCAAATGTTAAAATCTTACTAATTAACAAGTGACTATAATATTATTAAATACAATTCATTTTATAAAAAAAAAAAAAAATAATTTCATTCAAAATAGTTTACTTTTCATCAAACTACATGTATTATCATTCGTTGAAAAATTCCTTTGTCTCAGAATTGTATGAAGTTGTGAAAAGACATACAATATTATGTCTTATTAATTCTTTATTGACCACATTACAAAAAGACTTTCTATAAAAGTTGATTGCTTGAGTACCTCTGTCCCATTCGTGTATCAACCGTAAAGCAGTTGCATTTGCATGGCCGTGTTTCCGTTTGAAGGGTGCGATATGGCAGTGAATTTACAGAGTACAGAGAAATAACACCCGAGTCCTCAGGAATGGCAACGCATGGGTGGTGTCATGGGCGAAACAGTATACTCTGTTGTGTCCACGGTACTGCTCATGTCTATAGGCAATGGTTACCACTTTCCATCAGGTGGACCGTCAGCTTTTTTGTCATTCTAAGTTGTATAGAAAAAAAAATGTTTAGTACAAAAGGCAGCTCTACCAGCCAACAGTTTGGAATAACAGAATTGTAATTATGCAGGTACAAATATTGAAGTGTTGTTAGTATATAGTTACAGACATCCATATTTATTTACAAATTATATAATACATACAATGAAGAGCTACGACATATTATTATCATGTAAATATACTCGATTAAAAAGTTAATCTCTGTTGAAATTATTGTAAGAGCACTCTCTAAATGTTATTAGTGATAAATCCAAACGTTCAGTCGATTGAGCAATGTTTGATCTGTAATACAGTTGGACGTCACCAGACTGGTTTATGCAGTGGCGTAACAATAGGGTGGCAGGGCTGGCAAAATGCCACGGGCCCCCGACCCAAAAGGGCCCCGGCTCAAGAGGCCGCGAGCTCGGAAATATACCTGAGTATTTTATTTTACTTGAATATTATTTTTTTTACTGATAGGGCCCCATCAGTGTGAGAATTTGCCACAGGCCCCAAATGGGGGCATGGTATTGTTACGCCACTGGGCTTATGGACAGGCTGATATTTCATTTGTTTACATTTTAATTGAATTCTATTGAGACAGAGTATATATTTTTAATTGCTTTGTATCTATTGTTATTATCTATATATTAATACGTGAAGCAAAAACTTTGTAGCCCTTTTTACGAAAATTGCTCGGACGGAGGAGTATAAAATTTGGCGCGCTTATAGTTTATATACAGAATAATAATATTTTTTTTTAATTATGCATAAAAAATACATTAAAACAATAAAACATTACACACACTACCATTTATTTGACACACACACACACGCATATATACTCTTTTGTTTATTGTTAAAGTCTGTGGTCGAATTGAGAATAGATTAATATTGTTTGTCTGTTAATATTATTTGTCTATAGTCTTATTGAATGTCAAACATAACCTAAATAAATACATGTTATGGTCGAATTTCGACCACTGGCTGACCACTTGTATATGCGTAATTGCTTGGTACCTATTGTTATTATCATTGTATGCAGTTTTGAAGGTTAATAAATTTAGCTTTAAAATAACCAGGATATTACAAAAATAAATGAGGAAATAAATACCAAAAGAGAACTATGTTGTTATGTACTCTATATATACGTTATAATAAGATACCGAAGAATATTTTGGATCTGCTTTTTAATAAGTTTAAAATTGTTATAAAAAAAAACCATTTATTGAAAAAAGCCTATTACACGCTAAACGATTACTTGAATGACAAACGTGCATGGTGTTAGTCGATCATGCGCGGGCTTTTAACGACTATTGTAATTTTAGAGATAGTACATTTAAATAAATACACACATAATGTTAACAGTGATTTAAAAGAGTAACTGTTGAGTTTCTCGCGGGCTCTTCACAACAGATAACAACATTCCGAAGCCTGCATTCATAAAAAAATGACGATTTAAAAGTGCTTGTAAACAAGTCTATTTAAATAAAGACGATCTGAATTTTCACTACAAGAATTGTCTACAAAAATACCTCTGTCCCATTCGTGTTTCAACCGTGAAGCAGTTGTGTTTGCATGGCTGTGTTTCGGTTTCAAGGGTGGGATATGGCGTGAATTTACTGGGTACAGAGGAATAACACCTGAGTCCTCAGGAATGGCAACGCATGGGGGGTATCATGGGCGAAACAGTATACTCTGTTATGTGCATGGTACTGCTCATGTGTATAGGCGATGGTTACCACTTTCCATCAGATGGGCCGTCAGCTTGTATGCTGCTTTTGCTTTATTAAGTACACTGTAGTCTGTGGTTTAACTTTTTTTTAAGATTCTCAATTCGGTTGTGTTTTTTTGTTATGTTTGTCACCTCATAACTCCGTCAGTTGTAAACCGATTTTGGAATTTTTTTTTTAATAGTTATACTTACAGATTGATCCCATAGAAATTATATCAAAATCGATTATGTATTTTTTAGTTTTAAGATCAAATTATCGATCTTTTTTGGGACAATTTTTTTTTTATTTATGGTTAATTGTTTTGTAAAAAAAACTATTATTAAGTATATCATAGATGGTGCTTATTTAACAATAAAAGAATAAATAAATAATACAAAAGAATTGTGTTATGGTGTTATTATGGTATCCTATATTATCTTTTTAATATATACAAATCGTATAGTTCCGACATGAAATGGACTATCCCTTCCTTTCCTGTGGGTGTCGTAAGAGGCGACTAAGGGACGGTGAGGGATGGACAGCAGCGTCCCTCGCAAGGTATCACTAAAACTTAACTGCAGTTGCCAACCCGCTTGCCAAGTGTGGTAACTACTGGCAAAACCTCCCTATAGGGGGAGACTTTTTTTTATACAACTTAGAGTGGCAAACAAGCTGACGGCCCACCTGATGGAAAGTGGTAACCGTCGCCTATAGACATGAGCAGTACCATGCACATAACAGAGTACATATACTGTTTCGCCCATGATACCCCCCATGCGTTGCCATTCCTGAGGACTCAGGTGTTATTCCTCTGTACCCAGTAAATTCACGCCATATCCCACCCTTTAAACCGAAACACAGCCATGCAAACACAACTGCTTCACGGTTGAAACACGAATGGGACAGAGGTACCCAAGCGATCGACTTTTGTACAAAGTCTCCCTCTGGTAACGTCAGACCTATGCTCATTAGTGGACCATTAACGTTGATGATAGAAAAATAATTCTAGGGGATCAGTGGATGAAGGTGGCTCATGTTCGTTCCTTATGGCACGCTATGGGGGAGAGGGGCACTATGTTCAGCATTGGACACAATAGCGGATATAAGGATGATACAAAAGTCGATTGCTTGGGTACCTCTGTTCCATTCGTGTTTCAACCGTGAAGCAGTTGTGTTTGTATGGCTGTGTTTCGGTTTGATGGGTGGGATATGGCGTGAATTTACAGGGTACAGAGGAATAACACCTGAGTCCTCAGGAATGCAACGCATGGGGGTATCATGGGCGAAACAGTATACTCTGTTATGTTCATGGTACTGCTCGTGTCTATAGGCGACGGTTACCACTTTCCATCAGGTAGGCCGTCAGCTTGTTTGCCATTCTAAGTTGTATAAAAAAAAAAATTAATACTCGCCCACTATGTATTTTTTATTATAACAGATTGTGAATTGTCAATCTTTGTTGGATGCCCACGATACAGGCTCGCCCACTGTGGGGCCCATCGTATTCTTGTGTTTGTAACTTTGTGTTTTTGTATTGTATTATAAAATCTTTATTGTACATAATTCAAATTAAGCACTGATAAATGATTTAATATACAATGACGGACTTATCGCGTAAAGGGATCTCTTACAGTCGACCTTTGAGAAGCTGAAAGAAAACTGTAGAATGTATAAGGGTAATAACGGTACAATTAAAGATAAACTAAATAATAGCCAGTAAACAATGAATATATAATACAATAAAAACAGCTCTATATATCTACATATGTAAATAATAAAGGTACATGAATAATAATATAATATTAATACATAAATAAATAAAAACTTACACACATAAATACATAACAAATACATATATTTGTTTTTGTCAAATATTAAATTTCTAATTCTATTAAATTGATTGCATTTTTTTTAAATATAAACGTACATGTATATAAAATTTTACAGTGATCGGTTAAGTCGTTAAGGCGCTATAAGGTGACAAATAAATAATCATTTTCATATTATACTGGTAAAGCCCACTGACCTGACATTCGAGACACCTGCAGGACTCCCTGTAGGAACAGTTCGCGAGTACATTCTCCAAACGTTGTAGGTATTGTATTTGTTCCGTGTCCATCCTCCGTTTGCGGCGAGCAAGCGATGCCAGGAATGACAGTGGCGAAATCCGCCGGCGGGTCTTCGATTTTGGCGTGACACTGTTGACAGGGGGAGAGGGGTTAGTAATGGCGACTAGCAATCCCATGGATGATAATGGCATGATAAACCCCGCCTGTGCTATCGGTATACGCTGGCGGAACACCAGTGAGGGATGATAGGTGAAGATGAAGCAGGTCAGTTAGCCCATCGTGGAAAATCACTAATGAATCAATCACGATGGTTTCCAGGGGGAACCGCGAGGAGGTCGACCTGATAGGGTAAATTGCTAGTAATAGGATTACTAATCCCCATTTCTAACAATCCTTTTACACTATAGCAGTCTCATTGCTAGCCATACACCCTGCCAGGTTAACCTCCACGCGGTTCCCCAACTATCGTGGATAATCTTGTTGAATTGGGGGGAAAGGGATTGTTAGTAATGGAGACTGAGAATCTTATTGCTAGCAATATACCCAACCAGGTCGACCTCCTCGCGGTTCTCCCTGGAAACTATCATGGTTAATTCCTGATGAATTCATCATGATGATGGATGCATCAAATTAACTGGCCTGTTTTCATTCTCATCTATCACCCTTCACTGGTGCTCCGTCAGCGTATCCCGTTAGCGCAGGCAGGGTTACCATACCATTTTCACCCATCAAAAAAAAATCTTATTGAATTGGTCACGATAGGCCGATTGACCTGAAGATCTACCATGAAATGAAATTCCGAAATTTCGGACTCAATTTCGTATTTTCGTTCATACCAAAATCGGCCCAGTAAAAAATGAAGCTTAACATTTCTTTCGTCATAAATCCTACTATAAAAGTCCAATGGCACGATATGTTAACATCTTTAATATTTTTAAACGGTATGTATTATGTAACTTTATCATTACAAACAAGTTATGTTTCATTCGGCCCCGAAATTTCGGAAAACATTTAATGGTAGCCCATCTGGTTTCATCTTCACCTATCATCCCTCACTGGTGCCCAGCCAACGGATACCGATAGCGCAGGCGGGGTTACCAGCCCATTTTTATACTATTCTAGAAATAATCTTCTCAAACTAAGCGTGGTTTAAAAACAAAACTGATCCGTTTTAACAGCATTACTTCATTCACAAAGAAGAATACCTATTAGGAGTACAAATAAGTTTCCGCCGTTTTATTGTGGATGGCGCGGCACGGAGTTTCGGTTAGCTTTCGCAGATGATAACCGGCTTAAAAAATAGTTTCGACATTCAAGACCAACATAACCTATTAATATTATTGATTTGATATTGGTAAAATATAATTTTTATAACTTGAAAATGTCAAAATTTGAGCCAAATAAGCGTCATTTGCGGGAAATATTAATTTACTTCTTTAATTTAAAGAAATCTGCTGCTAAGGCGCATCAATTGCTCGTAGAAGCATATGGTGAGGGTGCTTTGAGTGAGAGAACGTGTCGAGAGTGGTTTCAAAAGTTTAAAAACGGTGATTTCGACGTAGAAGACAAAGATCGCAGTGGAAGGCCAAAAATTTACGAGGATGCAGAATTGGAGGAATTATTGGAGGAGGATTCATCTCAAACACAAAAAGAACTTGCTCTAACATTAGAAGTCACTCAGCAAGCAGTCTCACATCGTTTAAAATCATTAGGAATGATTCATAAACAAGGAAATTGGGTTCCGTACGAATTAAAGCCGAGAGATATTGAACGCCGATTATGCTTAAGTGAAATGCTGCTAGCTAGACATAAAAAAAAGGGTTTTTTACATCGTATCGTAACTGGTGATGAGAAGTGGATACATTATGACAATCCAAAAAGAAAAAAATCATGGGGATTACCTGGCCACGCGTCAACATCAACAGCAAAACCGAATATTCACGGAAAAAAACTTATGCTGTGTATTTGGTGGGATCAGCTAGGTGTAGTGTATTATGAGTTGCTTAATCCGAGCGAAACAATTACTGGAGCCCTCTATCGAACACAATTGATGAGATTGAGCCGAGCTCTGAAAGAAAAACGCCCTCAATACTATTCTAGACACGAAAAAATTATTCTTCTGCATGACAATGCTCGTCCACATGTTGCGGCTCCCGTAAAAAAGTACTTGGAAACACTTGATTGGGAAGTGTTACCCCACCCGCCGTATTCACCAGACATTGCACCGTCCGATTATCACCTGTTTCGGTCCATGGCACATGCTCTGACGACGCAGCGGTTTACATCTTATGAGGATACCAAAAATTGGGTTGATTCGTGGATAGCCTCAAAAGACAAGGAGTTCTTCAGACGTGGAATTCGAATGCTGCCTGAGAGATGGGAAAAAGTGGTTGCAAGTGATGGGCAATATTTTATATAAATCTATATTACCGTTCTTCTATAATAAATATTTAATTTGTGTTAAAAAACGGCGGAAACTTATTTGTACTCCTAATATATAAGTAAAGCTTCTTAAATATTTCACTGAACTAAGTGTTATCTTGCGGAAGTCCATATCACTGGTTATTTGTTTAGAATTATTTTGTTTAATTCCGCCACTATTAGTATGTGTGCGACTGCCAACACTCGAAGAGTGCCCACCATTATTACTACCAGAAGTTCCACAACCTTCCATATTAGCCATCAATCTCAGACTGCCATTTTGTCCACGCACGTTTTGCGACACATTTCTCTAAACGAGACATGTCGGGACAAATTTTTAGGTCGCCATGTAACGTGACCATATTATAATTATAATAGAATTAAACAAAATAATCAGGGCCGTGCCTGACGGGCGTTCATTGCGTGCACCGCACGCAGGCGGCCGAAATTAAGAGGCGGCCAAATCGTTACAAGTTGTTTACTGGGCAAAAATACAATCGGTTTGTTTTCATTAAGATACGAAGTAAAAACAGTTTCTCTAATCTAATCTATCTAAAAAGAGTTTCTCAGAAATAAGAAATGTATAAAAACTGATTAGGTCGTTGTAGTATTTATATACCTAGTCATGCAGCGAATCCGTATCGCGGCCATACAGACTGGCACGCAGGCGGCCATATACCCAGGCACGGCCCTGAAAATAATGCTAAAGTCCCATCTTTTACTTTCGCATTTTGGGTATTAAACAGTTCACAGCCTCAAAAACACATACTTGTCTCCAACCGAATTGAGCAACGCAGGTCGCATGTCTGCATCCCTCTCGCACAGTGCCGTCTCGCTCGGACGCCTTCTGGTCCGTCTCTTCACTCCATTGCCAATGTCCAGTTTCTCATCTGATAAAAATCCATCAGGTTATGAATAAGTCTAAGCTAATTCTATTGAAACAAAGTTGTTATAGTAGATACCTATCAAGTATTACGACACACCCTCAACGGCGATCGGATCCGACCACCTAGCATGACGCAAGAAGGTGCCTACCGAGAAAGACACCTGCCTCGAGTCAGTATTTCAATTCCCGCAGCAAAAATACCCATTTCCTTTATGTTTGATTCGATATAACTTCACTTACGGATCACACATCGATCTGAAGGCACTTATTATTGTAATAATTAATTTTAGAATTAAATTGAGTTATATTTATAAAATTGGTTTTTTTTTTGGATCTTCCGCCAGCAACTTCAATAACTAAAAAATAAATATATATTTAGTGCTTAATTTCACCAAAGGGACATTTTATACAAACGTCGTTTGCTTGGGCACCTCTGTTCCATTCCTGTTTCTACCGTGAAGCAGTTGTGTTTGCATGGCTGTGTTTCGGTTTGAAGGGTGGGATACGGCAGTGAATTTACAGGGTACAGAGGAATAACACCTGAGTCCTCAGGAATGGCAACGTATGGGGGGTATTTTTTTTTTCTGGCTCATCAAGGACTTTGGTCATTACACTCATCTGACAGTGCTAAAATTGGGCCAGCTTGGCGGACTAGCTTACGATGAGCCGCCGACCTTTCATGCGCGAAACAGTATACTCTGTTATGTCCATGATACTGCTCGTGTCTATAGGCGACGGTTACTACTTCACCATCAGGTGGGCCAGCTTGTTTGCTATTCTAAGTTCTAAGTTGCATAAAAAATACACTACAAAAAACATTTACTAATAAACAAAGATTCCTGAGTCCTCAGGAATGGCAATGCATGGGGGATATCATGAGCGAAACAGTATACTCTGTTATGTCCATGGTACTGCTCAAGTCTATAGGCGACGGTTACCACTTTCCATCAGGTGGGCCGTCAGCTCGTTTGCCATTCTAAGTTGTATAAAAAAAAAAAGATTAAAAAGAAGACATTAAAATGGTGTCACTCAGCTATATGCCATGTTCTTTTGAACATTACGCTGGTTTTCATTGGCACCAAATCGTTTGAATTTGGTCCTAATCTTGCTTAGTTCTTTTTGTATTCGTCACGATGGGCCAACTGACCTACTTCCATCCTCACCTATCATCCCTCACTGATGCCGCGGCAGTGTATACCGATAGCGCAGGCGGGGTTACCACACCATTGTCAATAAGGTTCCGTCGCAACATGCACATCCTATCCTGGTTGTACAAGTTTTTGTTTGACCATTCGGCCCCAGATTACCTCCGAGAGAGATTGTCCTTTAGAATCCCTGACCTGTCTAAAATATCATTACACTATAGGGGGGAAAGGTTAGAAGATTATTAGTAATGGAGACTAAGAATCCCATTGCTAACAATATATCCAACTGGGGGGAAAGGGATTGTTAGTAATGGAGACTGAGAATCCCATTGCTTGCAATATACCCAACCAGGTCGACCTCCTCGCAGTTCCTCCTGGAAACTATCATGGTTAATTCATCATGATGAATTCATTCTCATCTATCACATCACTCTTCACTGATGCTCCACCAGCGCATCCCGTTAGCGCAGACGGGGCTACCATTCCATTTTCACACATAAAAAAAACAATATATCCAACCAGGTCGACTGTTTTATCATGGTTAATTCATTCATCATGATGGGCTATTTTTTCATTTTATTTCATTTTCCCATACAAAAAAAATCACTACAGTGTAAGTGAATGTAAAAAAGCATATATAAATAAATAAATAAATTTTCAAACTTGCCTGTCGCATCAGTTTGCTCGCAGTAACTCCAGTTGCCCCTGTCCGCCGAGTAGCCGTTGTTCTCCCTCTCTGTCTGCTCCGACCACGTCTGCACTGACGGGTTCTGGTATATAGTTTCCGTGGACGCGTTCCCATTCTCAACGTCGCACGCACGGGACTCCGGCTGCTGGAGGACCTGATGATGGGAATTCCTTTTTTATGTATGATAATTGAATGGAATATTGATAATGGACTCGTAACACGGTCTTAGACTTTTTGCCATTTATTTTTAATGGATGATAATGGAATGGTAACCCCGCCCGCGCTATCGGTATACACTGGCGGGCACCAGTGAGAGATGATAGGTGAGCAGGTCAGTTGGCCCACCGTGACGAATCCAACAATAAATCAATCATGATGGTTTCCAGAGGGAACCACGAGAAGGTCGACCTGATATAGTATATTGTTAGCAATCCCTATTACTAACAATCCCTTCTCCCCCCTTCCCCTTATTGCCATTTACTGCCGACATAGAATTAGTCTTTTCATTTCCCATGGGTATAAGGGGTCGTAAGAAGCGTATAAGGGAGTTTAATGGGGTGGGGGGAAGGGCTTGTTACTAATGGGGACTAAGGGTTTCATTGCTAGTAATATATCCAACCAGGTCGACCTCCACATGGTCTCCCCTGGATACCTTCGTGCTGAGCTCCAAGTGTATTTTCATCACGATGGGCTAACTGACCTTTTTTAACGTCTGGAAAATGCTTTATGCCTAGGCTAACTGACCTCCCTTTTCATTCTCACCTATCATCCCTCATTGGTGCCCCGCCGGTGTATACCGATAGCGCAGGCGGGGTTACCATTCCATTATCTCCCATTACAAACAAAAATGGAATTTAATCTTAAAACATCACCAAAACCTAACTACGTTTGCCAACCCATTCGCCAAGCGTGGCAACTATTGGCAACATCCCCTTATTGTGGAAGCTTATGCCCAGCAGTGGACGGTTAACGGTTAATATAAAAATATAATAATACTTTATAATCCAATTTTTTTACCTGGTAATGAGCACGAGTGCCTAGAAAAAAGACCGCCCCAGAGCCACCTGTAGTCATTGTCTGCAAAATAAATTTAATAAATCAATAAATGAAATCTTTTTATTAATGCTCTGTTAATTTATATAAATTTATTAGATTTATGATTAATAAAACATTAATATTATAAATTTTTTTATAAAATATTTTTTTATACAACTTATAATGGCAAAAAAGCTGACGGTCCACCTGATGAAAAGTAGCAATTATCACCTATAGACATGAGCAGTAGGACATAACAGAGTATACTGTTTCGCCCATGATCCCCCCCATGCGTCGCCATTCCTGAGGACTCCGGTGTTATTCCTCTGTACTCTGTAAATTCACGCCATATCCCACCCTTCAAACCGAAACACAGCCATGCAAACACAACTGCTTTACGGTTGAAACACGAATGGGACAGAGATACCCAAGCAAACGACTTTTGTATTAAGTCTCCCTCTGGTATAAAATATGTAAACAATGAATCAGCAATACAACATTTTGTTGTAATTATAAAAAATTGAGACTGTGACCAGCAGCGTCCCTCTTAAAACAACTCTAAAACCTAACTGCGGTTGCCAATCCGCCTGCCAAGCGTGGCAGCTACTGGCAAAACTCCTCCTTAGGGTAGGTTTATGTTCAGCAGTGGACCATTAAGGGCTGATATGACGACGATGATGAAGACATCAAAAAAAATCTTTTATCTGTTAGATTGGTCCTGTACATTTTTTTTTAAAGATTCAGTGGGGGAAAGGGATTGTTATTAATGGAGACTGAAAATCCCATTGCTAACAATATCACCATACCAGGGCGACCTCCTGATTCCTGATGAATTCATCATGATGGGCTAACTGGCCTGTTTTCATTCTCATCTATCACCATTCACTGGTTCCCCGCCAGAGTACACCGATAGCGCAGGCGGGTTTGCTATTCCATTTTCACCCATCAAAAAAAGCTGACAGAGTTATGAGGTAACAAACAAAAAATACAATTAAATTGAGAACCTCTTTCATTTTGAAGTCGGTTGAAAAAGGGACCAACTCAAACTTTAACCGTATCAATTGAAAAAAGGATCAACAAAATAAATATGCCTAGTAAATACATAATAATAAAATAATGCAGTAAAATTGTGAACATTCAATAATGAAGAATTTTGAAGTTTGATGATAATTTGAAAATGCTAAATTTATCGTAATCACAAAATGCAATTTAAAATAGAACATAGGCATTTTTTTCTTTATTATTAATGCAAAAGAAAAAAAACATTTCCGGTAGGTTTACATATTAACACGTTATTATTTTTTGGATTAATTTTGTTCACTTAAATTATCAAATTGAGGTCGTGAAAAATGTTTACCTTTAAAAATAATGAAGCTACTCGAATAGAACTATTTTTTAGATTATCATAAAGATTAAATAGTAATTATTTAGATCCAAGGACTTGTCAAAATTTGACGGTAGTCGGGCATGCGCAGTGCATTTTTTAGAGTTGTCAGGTATGGTGGAGAACTCCCTATTTTAGGGTAATTTTTATTTGTTTTCGTTAATAATAATAATTTTAACGAATATGTTTTATTTTTTCTTCTTTCATGACGAATAAATTTAGCGGAATATTTTGATCATAGTTTTTAATAAATAATGTAAATTATTTAGTTGATAATATGTTTAAATTTATAGGTACACTGAAATAAGTATACATCTTTAAAATAGGCGTTTTAGTAGCAAGTGTCAATGACATTGCTTATTACATATCGCTGCTATAAGCTATTCAAGTAACTTGCTGACGCGACGTTCAAGTTAAAAAATGTAACAACAGATGGCGTTTCAGTAACGATATGTTACTGGTTATTGTAAAATATTTAAAAATAATCCATAAAAATTTTGATAAGAAACAATACGTATGTTTAAAAAGAAAATAGTGAAAGAGAAACAAAATGTTTTTCATGCAATCAGATTCCAAAAGAGGAGTCAAATCTGTCACACTGGTGCTGTAAGCAGTCATTGTTAAGTTCAAGCATTCGTCATTCTACAGTGTCGTGGGTATCCAAATACAGTCTAGCAATTTCTTCTAGTCGACAGAATGGCAAATGTTGAAGTTTTGTTCTTATGCGACACGGAATAAGATCTAAATTTGGATGTGCGGTGCACTTGATTGAAGTGGCTGCACAGGACCACTGTACCATGTGACTGCGGACTCCCTGAGCGTAACCGGCAGCATTTGGTATATGTAGTTACTGTAAAAGAAATTTTCATAGCGCGATACAGGATTGTAGATTAGAATGAAATACAGAGACTTTTTAATATCTGTTTTCAATTTTAGACGAATAAGAATCTTTTCGATATGATTATGTGTTAACATCAACATACTGGCCATGGAGGATTCTTTGGATGCCATGCTCTTTCTCAAATCCTTTTTGAAGAATATCACTAGTGGTCCACTTTCAAATAATTCTTTAAAAAACTCAGCAACTCCAATATTTACATGAGAAAACATCTCAAAGATTGCACAGCACCTACACTTCTTTTTATTGTACGTTTATAAATAATTTTCGTCTTTAGATAGATAGATATTCTTAATTGTTTCCTCCAAAAGATTACAATAGCAAACTCATTATAGATACAAACAAATTACAAGAAATAATCACAGTGAGAAAACAAATGGGTGACCTTATCACTAAAAGCGATTTCTTCCAGGCAACCTTTGGATGGAGAGAAGTAATTATAAACAGTTTGAAATTAAATTAATTAACTATAATTTGTCTTTGTAAATCCTTTATCATATTTTATAATAATTTAGGGTATATAAAATATGTAAAAAGAATGTATGTCGACATGCATTTATCTAATTATAGTTTTACTATAAGAAAGCCTATTTAATTAAAGCCAAAGGTCAATTTAATTTTTAAGTTAAAATTTAACAAAATTTATGTATTAAAACTAAATAGTATTATTACAATTTCTTGTGCTTTAAGGTTTAACCTATTTATTATAAAAAAAAAAATAGTGTTTTATCGCAGTTTCGTTCGTGTGACTGAGGTATACTGGTTGATTATGAGAAAAATGACTTCTCTTTGCCAAATTCCATGACGACAACATCAAGAAGTAATAAAGAAATTCGTATACTTTTAAATAAAAAAAAAAGAGCTAGTAGCTACTTTGAGCAAATGATAAGTTTAGTGAACCAAAGAGGTAATGTTGCCAGTATCTTGGGTACGCTGCCTCGATGCGGTGCGTTGGGAGACTGTAATTAATTATGTGTGTTATTATTGAATAAAAAAGTTAAAGAAAAAAAAAATCAACAAAACAAAAACAAAATAGTATATTAAATATGATACAATTAAAAGAGCTGTTGTATCTGGATAACATTGCTCTACGTAATACGGTATTTCTGTAAAGGGGTAGAATCAGGTTTCTCCAATAGCAGACAGCCATTAAGGTTAAGTACTAACTCAAAGACGTTCTATTATTGTAAATATAAATACATTTTGAATTGCTTAGTTAAATTAATTCGAATTTATTTCAATGAAAGAGATATTGTTTTAACTTTTTGTTATGTTAAAATAATAATATAATAAGTTTATTTCAAAATAAATGTTACAAACATTTTTAAATATAGGTGAAACCCTTCTCCGTAAATAGATAAATGGACATACTTTAGGATAAGCAGTGCCCTTCCCTATACGGTAATAACACAATATATATATATATATATATATATATATATATATATATATATATATATATATATATATATATATATATATATATATATATATATATATATATATATAAAGAAACAGTAAAACTTAAGGTACTAATACAACAATAATTTAATTTGTCCAAATAATATTTTGTAAGTGAATCTTGACTGTCTAATTTGCGAGTGTATGGAATGGATTGTAAAATGGCTGTCATAACCTAAGTTACTTACTACTAATAATAAATCTACAGTTTAATCGTATGTCTTACTTAATAGCCAATAACTAACAATTTTTATGCGTATATGTTTTAAAATATACGACACTTGAAAGTTTTGAATGTGGAATATTAAAAAACAGAAGAGTTAGTGAAACAATTATCTATTTTTCTTTATTAACTAAATTACTTACAACTCTGTCAGTTGTAAACCGATTTGGGAATTTATTTTTTTATCCAAAAAGATGTACTTATAGATTAATACTACATAAGTTTATTAAAATCCGTTCCGTAGTTCAGTTTTTAAATTAAAAGAACTGGTTTTACCACAATTAAAAAATTTATTAAAATCCGTTCCGTAGTTCAGTTTTTAAATTAAATATTTTAAATTGGTTTTACCACAATTAAAATTGCTTTTGTTTTTTATAAAATACAATTTAATTATACCGACTATTGTCATGCGGTAAAACTGTACACGATATGTGCATTCGTTTAACATAAAAAAGAAAAAAAGCTTTAAAAGAAACATTACCCAAACACTAACAAAACATAATTAGGATAAAGTACAAAAGTCCATTGCTTGGGTACCTCTGTCCCATTCGTGTTTCAACCGTAAAGCAGTCGTGTTTGCATGGCTGTGTTTCGGTTTGAAGGGTGGGATATGGTAGTGAATTTACAGGGTACAGGAATGCCGGAATAACACCTGAGTCCTCAGCAATGGCAACGCATGGGGGGTATCATGGGCGAAACAGTATACTCTGTTATGTCCACGGTACTGCTCATGTCTATAGGCGACAGTTACTACTTTTCATTAGGTGGGCCGTCAGCTTGTTTGCCATTCTAAGTAGAATAAAAAAAAATACTAGATGCTAAATTTCGATAATCATTTATTATTTATTGCTCTGTTTATTAAAATATATATTAAATAATAGTAATAAAATAGATTTAGAAAATAACTTTGTAACGAAATACAATCGCCTTAACTTCAGTGGAGCGTAACTGCTTCGTGCATTTATGCAGGGCCGGACTAATAATTAGGTAGTATAGATTACTGCCTAGGGGCCCCTAATCAGGCGGGGCCCCGAGCCCTGAAGAAAATTGAGAAAATTAAACTTATTTGTTTATTTATTTTATTGTTTGGCGCAACTCCTGTTGCGCCAAACAATAAAATCTGTAAACTCCTGTTTACAGATTTAAACTTAAAACATAACACGTACTGTTTGGGTAAACTATTCCTTGAAATGAAAATTACATTTGAAGATTTGTATCTAATAATTGGTTTCTACCGTGAAGCAGTTGTGTTTGCATGGCTGTGTTTCGGTTTGAAGGGTGGGATATGGCAGTGAATTTACAGGGTACAGAATAATAACACTCGAGTCCTCAGGAATGGCAACGCATTGGGGGTATCATGGGCTAAACAGTATAATCTGTGATGTCCATGGTACTGCTCATGTCTATAGGCGACGGTTACCACTTTCCATCAGGTGGGCCGTCAGCTTGTTTGCCATTCTAAGTTGTATAAAAAAAAACAATAACAAACCATAAATAAAAATATTATTGCTCTTTTTATATTCTGTCATCATATTTAAATATATTTCGTAACGCATTTCCAGTAACTATGTAGAATAATATTATACTTGTTTATTTTATTAGACGTAGATTGAGACGTGCGTTGCTTAGGGGCCCCGATATGGTTAATCCGGCCCTGCATTTATGTGAATGTTGCATTTACTTTCTGATATACTTTGATATTTCTTCCATTAGCTACATATGTATCTACCACTGTGAATTAGGCGACACCTCGTCTATATGTTTGATTCCCGGTGGGATCAGTTTTGGGAATGAACTTTTTATGTTATATTATTAAAAGTTTTTAAAGTTTTTTTTTTTTATTATTATTTTAATGTTTTTATAAAACAGGATTGACAACTTCTTTGCTATTTTACATTGTTATAAAATAAAATTTCATGAAAGATTAATGAAAATAAGTAATGCCATTGTTCAGACAGTGTTCCACATTGCGTACCTGATGACAATGGAATTTGTAATGGAATGTTTTTAGTACGTATTTTATTAATTAATATTTGTATAATGTAAAAACTTTATGACGTTACTATATTACCAGAGGGAGACTTTGTACAAAAGTCCATTGCTTGGGTGCCTCTGTCCCATTCGTGTTTCAACCGTCAAGCAGTTGTGTTTGCATGGCTGTATTTCGGTTTGAAGGGTGAGATATGGCATGAATTTACAGGGTGCAGAGGAATAACACCTGAGTCCTCAGGAATGGCAACGCATGAGGGGTATCATGGGCGAAACAGTACACTCTGTTATGTCCATGGTACTGCTCATGTTTATAGGCGACGGTTACCACTTTCCATCAGGTGGGCCGTCAGCTTGTTTGCCATTCTAAGTTGTATAAAAAAAAAAAAAAAAAAACATTAATCACCTATAAATTACGAAAAGAAGGTGACGCAAGTCTTCTTTTTCTAGTTCAATGAGCTCACTCGTACGGTACACCCGGAGACGTCACTATGCAATAAGGAACGTTAACAAAATTTCAGTGTAACAATTATAAAAAAATAAATAGTAGAAAGAAATGGTTTCTTAATGTAAATGCACAGAGAAAGCGATTTATCTACCCATTTGACATTTGTTTATCTATTTCACTGGATAAGGTGTTATTTTACGGAAGTTCATATCAATTGTTAGTTGATTCGAATGATTTTGTTTATTATTTATTATTTATTCGTGTAGCTTTTGTATAAAATACTAGTGAAACGCACAGGCTTCGCACGGTTTTTTTTTTTTAATAAATACAACCCATTTTACTCGCTGGTAATAAAGCTTTGTATAGGTACAATATTTTTTTTTTAAACCAATTATATATTTTTAAGCTTACAAATAAAAAATTAAAATGTTTCTAGTTCTCTATCAGTGAAATCTTAGATTACAGAGAACTTTTATCCCGACTCCCGCTAGACTAGAGAGACTGCCGTAAAGAACAGCTGATTCCCTGCAATGCATTTGAGGTCGCTACTCCATCCAATGGGGGTTGTTTGTTCTATATTGCATTTGTCCATACGGGGTCGCCACTCAAGAACATTTCTTCCCCATCGGTTGTCGGTTTTTCGAGCTATGTGACCAGCTCATTGCCTCTTCAGCTTGCTTATCCTTCAGGCTAAGTCGGTTACGTTGGTTTTTTACGGATATCTTTGTTTCGGATTCTATCACGCAAAAAGACTCCGAGCATAGCTCTCTCCATAGCCCGCTAAGTAATTTGAAGTTTTTGAATACAGGCAATCGTGTAGGACCATGTTTCAGTTCCATAAGTCATCAGTGGCAACACGCCCTGGTTAAAGACCTTTGTCTTCAAACTGAGGTATTTTGGATGAAAAGTTATGGCATAGTTTTCCGAATGCTGCTCAGCCGAGTTGGATTTTTTGGTTGACCTTTCGGTCGTAGTTGGATTTACCCATTCGGACAACTTTCCCAGATATACATAGGTACTCATCGACAACTTTGAGCGTAGTGTTTTCTATCGTAGCTGATATAGGTGTTACATGGACGTTAGATATGACGTTATATATATATATATATATATATATAACGTCATGTAATTGATTTTGGGAACTTTTGAACAATAGCCAGTCTAACAATAGCAAAGATGAAATATCTCGCCTGTAATCCATGAGTTATATTAACAGTATTATGTATTCTCATAGCGTTCTGTGTTGTGTATTGTGCACAATAAATATATTCGCTCTATCATTTACAGTCGAGTCAATTATGTGGGTATGAACACTTCTCAATTGAAAATTCAATTAATTTTTAATGTATCTAGTTCCACATTGGACAAGATTTTATACTTCGCTTCCAAGTAATTACATAATCGTCCTTCTATTTATTGTTCATAAAATAAATTCGATTTGTCCCACAACTGCATAAACTCGTCTCGACTCATTACGCCTTACTCGACGTAATACTACGTCACGTCGGCATCCAATGAACGCTGCGATCCTGAAACGCGCTAACGAAGTTTTTCATGGGCTTCGTATAAATACTGATATCGAACCAATACTTCTGGGGAGTCCCACGCTACACGGTTACCCGGTCGTGGCGGGGGGCCGGTCTAAACCCTCGCCATCTGATTACGTCAGTTAAGTCGTCATGTATGGGATTTAAATATTAAAAATGGTTTACAAAACACATTCTGATGAGATCTTCATACGAGAGCTCTTTCACAATGACCGATGTAGCGACTTTGACTTCCTTTTTTAATCTTTTTTTTTATTATATGATATTAATCTCTTATATCTAATAATACTTACTTATCAAACCTATTTTAAATAAATAATTTTCTACAGTAGATATTTTTTTTTATGCAGCTTAGAATGGTAAACAAGTTGACGGCCCACCTGATGGAAAGTAGTAACAGTCGCCTATAGACATGAGCTGTACCGTGGACATAACAAAGTATACTGTTTCACCCATAATAAATAATTTACAAACTCTTTGTTGTGTGAGATTATTAATACAAAGTTCTTATTTAAAACAAATAAAACGCATTTATTAACAACTAGATGTTATGAATTATTTTTTTACGAGTCGATTTATCTTTAATCTAATATTTCTAATATTTGATTAATAATAAATAATTAGTCAAAAATAAGAAACATTACTATTACACCCGGTAGGGTATATTTTAAAACTCTTTGAATCGTTATAAATTTGTTTGTTAAAGACTATGTTAATAAATAAAAACAATATTTAATATTTTTTTTATTCACAAGCAAAAGGAAGTCAAATCAGCTACTACCGTGTGGATGAGACCAGAGTCTCTCTTTATCATTTTCTTGACATATTTGACATTATTTTACCATATATGATTGCTTTACGCTTCAACATATCTGATGGCAAGGAATTAGACCGGCTCCCTGCCAGCACCGGCCCACGTAGTAGCCACGGACCTCCCGATTTAGAAGCATTGTACTCTTCTTATATACTTAGTTGAACGAAAAACTTCGATAGCGCGTTTTAGAATCTTGGCGCCATTCGTTTATTTTTAGCCTGTAGTAGACTCGATAAAGCTAAGTTTGAAATGGTGATATAAAAACATTTATTTATTCATTATTTCATTGTTTTTTTGTTTCTATTTTTATTTGTTTATATGTTTGAAATATTGTAATTTTAAAGTAGATCCTATGTTAGTCAGTAAAAGACAATTGCAAGCTCTTCTCTGATTTGCTGATAGAGCGTTTAATCGGATTGGTCGAATCTACAATCTGTGTATTGAATTCATGAGTGAAATGTAAATATCAAATACAAACCGGTAAGAAAGAGATAGAAATTGATGACATTTACCATCAAGTTGATAATGAGGCCGATTCTGAGTTACCATTTCTATAAATTTGTCTCTTAATCTAATATTTTAAGTTTTTATTTTATGGACCATCATAAATAAAAATTATAATATTTTTAACTTAAATATATTACAAAATTAGTACATATTAATTTTTACAGTAAAAATTACGCTGTGATATCAAAATTAAATTTTAATTTTAGATATAGAGTTACAGAAATGTCAATTCAGAATCGATGCCAATGATAACAGTACTTAAAGAAAAACAAAATTGTAAAATATTTTATAAAAATATTAATAAACATATAAATTATTTTTGAAAATATATGTATAATACTTATAATGCTTGCGTATGTAATAATTATATTTGCGTAAAAAAATGGGGTAATTATTTTAAACGCTAGCAACCCTGTTTATGAACGAATCATTTCTCTTATATTTTCGTCTTGTTGTCTTAAATATAGAAATAAAGAACATATTTTACTACAAGTGCTTTATCAGATTGTTAATTCAATCTTTAGTTTTGTGTTATAATTAGGTGTTTTTACACACGCGTTGTGTTATTATATTAAAATTATTGTTGCCATCAAATAGAAATGTAAGTATTGTTGCAATAAACATAAAATCATTTGGAACAAACTAGAAACACCGATTTCATTTTGTATTTTAGTGTTGCAAGAAAAAATGATTATCAATTTGACATTAGACTTATATTATTTACCTTTATTATTAAAATTGATCACTAATAAAAAAATGGAATTTCGAAATAATAACGATAGATAAAGCAGTCTGTGTTATACAACATAACCTAATTTAAAAAATAATTTTTAGTATGTTATCTTTACATCGCCTCTATGGGCATCCACTGACCCAAATCTTAATCCTTATTAATATAATAAAGTAACTTTTTACCCGCTGTTTCGTAACGTGGATTTCAAAAGAAGGGAAACCAAATACCGCTATTAGATGACGTACCTACAAGAAACATATACAAGTTACACCTTCAGGAACCCAATTGTGAAAACATATCCAATTTCGTTCAGTAGGTTTTCAGTAACGAACTTACCTACATATCATTGTCATCATCATCTCAGCCATTCTTCGTCCACCGCTGGACATAAGCCTCCCCCATAGACTGCAATAAGGAACGGTCCTGAGCCACCTGTATCCCTGCAATCCACTGACTACCTGCAATGCATTTTAGGTCATCACTGCCTCTAGTGGAGGGGGGGGGAATAAATAGGAATACACACAACACATATAACACTAAATAGGAACTTAATGGAGGGATTGATAGCAGCTTTTAAAATGTCTCTAAAAGCCTAACTGTTGTTCCCAACCTCTCTGCCAAGAGTGGCAACTACTGGCAAAACTCCTAATGAAGAAGGCTTATGTTCAGCAGTGGACAGTTAACATCTGAAATTATTGTACCTAACTAGACTGTGTTGGGGGAAAGGGATTGTTAGTAATGGAGACTGAGAATCCCATTGCTAGCAATATACCCAATCAGGTCCACCTCCTCGCAGTTCCCCCTGGAAACTGTCATGGTTCATTCCTGACGAATTCATCATGATGGGTTAACTGACCTGTTTTCATCCTCATCTATCACCCTTCACTGGTGCCCCGCCAGCATATCCTGTTAGCACAGGCGGAGTTACCATTCCATTTTCATCCAATAAAAAGAAAAATTAGACTGTATCTGTATATTTAATGTGAATTTGTTTGTTACTTCTGATCTGTTTAACGGCTTAACCAATAGTCATAAATTTTGGTGATGGTTAACCACTGATATGATATCCCGCACATGTTAACGGTATACTCTGATGGGGTACCAGTGAGGAATGATAGGTGAAAATGAAAAGACAGGTTAGCCCACTGTGATGAATACACCTAGAATTCAGTAGGATGGTTTCCAGAGGGACTTTTTTTAATGGATGATAATGGAATGCTAACCCTGCCTGCGTTATCGATAAACACCTGTGGCAAACCAGTAAGGGATGATAGGTAGATAGATAGATAATTTATATGCATTACTGGCAACTATAAACTGCAATATTGGCAATGCATGGGGGGTATCATGAGCGAAACAGTATACTCTGTTATGTCCATGGTACTGCTCATGTCTATAGGCTACAGTTACCACTTTCCATCAGGTGGGCCGTCAGCTTGTTTGCCATTCTAAGTTGTATATAAAAAAAAAATTACTTACAGCACACAAATTATAACATATACATAAAAACATGATAACATAAATTATTAAAAAAAAAAAATACATAAAGCACAATTTTTTTTTGTATGTGTGCCATAACAATACAAAATGGCCACAGCTCAGTTTATTGCTTCGCCCTCAAAAGAGCAAAGCACTGATATTCTGTTGCGGCCAAAGGGAATAGGGTAACAATAAAACAATACTACCAGATTATCTATAAAGGATGAAGCAGGTTATTTAGCCCATCGTTATGAATACACCTAGAATTTAGCACTATGGTTTCCAGGGGGGACCACATGGAGATCTATCTGACAGGCTACATTGGTAGCATTGGGACTAGTAATCCGCATTACCAACACCTCCCCTACCCCTGCGTGGTGATTAACCTGATAGGGTACATTGCTAGCAATGGGACCCTTAGTTCCTATTACTTTCTATTCTTTCCACTCTGGGTGAGCATATTGGGAGACCGTAAAGCCCAACCAGTTGATCAAATAAATAAATTGTTATGTAAGACAGTACTTAATAAGTAATTGTGAGGGAAAGGGATTGTTTGAAGAGTGGGGCTGTTAGACCCAATTGCTAGCAATGTACCCTATCAGGTCAACGTCTATGCGGTTTCCCCTCGAAACCATCATGTTTAATTATTGTGTAATTCTACACGATGGGCTAACTGACCTGCTTTCATTCTCACCTGTCATCTCTCACTGGTGCCCCGACAGTGTATACTGATAGCGCAGGTGGGACTACCATACCATTGTTACACATTAAAAAAAATATGCAATTGTGTTCCAGTGTTAACCGACAATGTCTGATGTGGAACATGTGGAGCACCTGGATGATACCGCAGATAATTCCCAGATCCTGTCTGCCGAATATAAAGATGGTAATTTTTTTATATAATAGTTCTTTATTAACAAATAAAGGGTTGCATTGTTAGTTTGTTTTTTGCCCTAGCTTACATATTAGGGTAACCTGTGCCTTGTAAGCTAGTTCCTTCCAACATACAAGAAGTAATACTATATATTTGTACATGCAGAATTAACAATAGTAAGTTACAATAATATATATATATATATATATATATATATATATATATATATATATATATATATATATATATATATATATATATATATATATATATATATATATTGTACGTAATGTATATTCTTTTTTGCACTTGTAAAATACATTGTTAATGTAAATATTGTGAGCAAGGGTGGACTTATCTCTGACAGAGATCTCTTCCAGTCAACCCGATACAGTTGGAAATTATTATATATATAATATATAAATAAAGATATATTATTATATATTTAATAACAAATACAATAAATAATTTTTTCATATATAATAAATATAATATTTTTGAGTAGCAATACTTTGCAGTTTTTTTTTTTCATTTCAATTCAATTATTTATTGTATTTTCATATTGTAACGATATTTTAAGCATTAGGGGTACAGTATCGACATGAATCCTGGGCATATTGGTATATATTACCTATATGTTACTCACACCCAAAAAAAAAAAAAAGAAAGTCGTCAATGTGACAATGTTTTTGTTTTGCAGGACAATTGCAGATTGTCGAGGTGACGCCTTTTGAAAAAAATGATCAGGCAAGTTATATATTTTTAGGTATTTACTTAGAATTCAGTTTAATGGGTAGACACAAGCAATTAGCAATCACATAAAGTACACAAACAAAGATAGATAATAACATTAATGTAACATATAATAAAAAAATTACCATTCATCAAATAAAATAACAGAGATGAGAGATGCTCGAGTCCACACCAGACGGTCGTAAAAGGTCTGTATTCGGGTTTCTTTGGCTTATATAGTTCCAGTGAAAGGTGGAGGTACAAAGTAGTGAGATACTAGAGGGAGACTTTGTACAAAAGTCGATTGCTTGGGTACCTCTGTCCCATTCGTGTTTCAACCGTGAAGCAGTTGTGTTTGCATGGCTGTGTTTCGGTTTGAAGGGTGGGATATGGCGTGAATTTACTGGGTACATAGGAATAACACCTGAGTCCTCAGGAATGGCAACGCATGGGGGTATCATGGGCGAAACAGTATATTCTGTTATGTCCATGGTACTGCTCATGTCTATAGGCGATGGTTGCCACCTTCCATCAGATGGGCCGTCAGCTTGTTTGTTATTCTAAGTTGTATATAAAAAAAAAATACCGCCAACAATATATACAATTTAGTATGGCCACCAAGCTGACGGCCCACCTGATGGAAATTCTCATACTGTGTTGCTTAAGAAAAAAATAAAATTTAATTATTTCGAAGTCGGTTAAAGTGCAATAATATGCAGTAATATGTAATGAAAATCCCCCAGTGGTGAACTGTCATGAGGAACGGTCCCGTTCTTTATGACAGTCTATGGTGGGAGCCTATGTCCAGCAGTGGACAGATAATGGCTGAAATGACGTATTTACTTACGAATTAGAAAAAATCCTTTTGGATTTTGTTTTACAACGCAGGGGGCAAACGAGCATGCGGCTCACCTGATGGTAAGTGACTACCGCCGCCCATGATCACCCACAACACTAGAGGCATCGCAGGTGTGCTGTCGGCCTTTTAAAAAGGAATATGCTCTTTTCTTGAAGGTTATGTTGTCGTATCGGTTCTGGTAATACTGCTGCTGGAAGTTGATTCCAAAGAGTGGTTGTGCGTGGAAGAAAGATTTTGTTTTACATTTTATTTTATATAAATATTTTTTTTTACAATATACGATAGCGCAGACTGGGTCACCATTCCATTGTCATAAAAATGCTCTACAAGGAATTTTGAGTGAAACATTAATGTATATTTTCCAGCACCCTGATGCCCAAATCCTGCCAGACTTGGAGTCGGATGAGGTGGACCCGCAATCGCGCTATGTGCAAGTGATCAACCCCGACAAGTCCGTTATGCAGCTGGATCTCCTCAACATGACTTTGGTCAGGTATGGAGTTTTATCCTATCTTCTCGTGTTATTACTAGTAGAAGAAATTTATATAGCTAGGTATATACGCATAGAATGGGCCACCCCTTCCTTTCGAGGGGGAAGAGTCGTTAGTAATGGGGCGACTAGACCCCATTGCTATCAATATACCAGAAGGAGACTTTGTACAAAAGTCGTTCGCTTGGCCACCTCTGTCCCATTCGTGTTTCAACCGTGAAGCAGTTGTGTTTGCATGACTGTGTTTCGGTTTGAAGGGTGGGATATGGCAGTGAATTTACAGGGTACAGTAAAATAAGACCTGAGTTCTCAGGAATGGCAACACATGGGGGGGTATCATGGGCGAAACAGTATACTCTGTTATGTCCATGGTACTGCCTCATGTCTATAGGCGACGGTTACCACTTTTCATTAGGTGGTGGTAAAAAAAGAATATTCTGGTCTTAACCAGTTACAATATCTATTTTATATCAACTGCTATGTGATGTCTGATTTCCCTATAACTAGCAATCCATCGTATCAAATCGACCTCCACGCGGTTCCCCCTGGAAACTATCGTGATTGATTCTAGTGGAATTCGTCATTTGACTAACTGACTTGCTTTAATCCTCACCTATCATCCCTCACTGGTGCCCCGCCAGTGTATACCGATAGCGCAGGCGGGGTTACCATTCCATTATCACACATTAAAAAAATATGGAATATAATATATAGTCAGCTTGTTGCCATTCTAAGTTGTAAATATAGTTTATGTAAAAAAATCTTGTTCACCAATACATCGTATTTCAGATGCGACGACGGTTCGTACAAATTGGTGGCCAACGCGGAGACCACCAGCGACATACCGGCGGACTCGACCGTCACCTGCGTGCTGCAGTCCAGCGATAATGAAGGTGAGCCTCGAGACCTCCTGCCCCTCTTACTTGGAACTACCGGGCCCGTTTCTCACTTATATATATATATATATATATATATATATATATATATATATATATACTAGCTGACTCGGCAAACGTTGTTTTACCATATACATTATTTCGAGAACTGTACATGAAAATTTATCCTACTACAATTATTATATTCGAATGCCATCTTGCAACCCTATTGCGGCATATAAAAATTCGCAATTAAAAAACAGGGGTTGATCGTAAAAGCGTGAAAATTTAGATTTGTATGTATTTTTAAATGCTAAATCATAATAAAATAAAAATAAAAAATTTTGTCAAAAAAATAAAAAAAAAAAATTAGGGGTAGGTTATCCTTATCATTGAGGGGTGTGAAAAATAGATGTTGGCCGATTCTCAGACCTACTTGATATGCACACAAAATTTCAAAAAAATCAGTAAAGCCGTTTAGGAGGAGTACATACCGTATTGTGGTGAATGAATAAATATTTTGATTTTTTTTCTTTAATCAATTTTTTTTTTTATTATATATAAGTTTATATTATTGTTTGTAAGGTAGATTCAAGTATACACATAGATCTTACACAATGTGAGGGCTTAACAACTAGAACATATTATAACTTAAGATCAGACCAGAAAAATAAAGAAAGTACACTAGTTATTCTGTGAAACAAATAAATGACAATCGCCACCCAGCAATGTTAGTTTTTTACTTCAATATAGACAGTGCAAAATGAACGAATTGCAGCAAGTAATTAAATTAAAGTACAATTTGATGGTCAGACATTATCAATGTCTCCAGACCCCGACAACCAGGACGCGTACGTGATGGTGAACGACGAGCAGGGTCCGCTGGTCTTCCTCCAGTCCACGCTGCCGCAGACGAACAGAAACCAGGAGCAGAGCGTGAAGCCGGTGAAGTTGGAGAAAAAGGTACAACATGTGAATAATGTACCATACCGTAACGTAACGTCGTCCGGTTACGTTAAGTTTCCCGCCAGTAGGAACTAGCCTACTTCAGCAGGATGCCTTAACTCACGCAGTACGGTTATTAAATAATATTATAAAAATCATTGATATATTTAGTAGCAGCCTGCCAAAGATATTGCAAGCGGCTCACAAATATCTAGAGTCGGGTTATATAGTACATTACTGCAGCGGCCAGCAACTGAGGCATTGATGGGCGAACGTGCAAATGTGGGCCGAGGCGTAGCCGCGGCAGACATACGTGAGTCCATCAATGCCTAGTTGTGGCTAAGGGTTGTATAGTACTTTTCTCAATCAATGCGCGGAAATCAAAAACACAATTTTACTTTTTAAGTTCAATGACGAATAATAATAATTTTTCATGTGCCATAATGTTTCTTTGTTTTTTTTTTCAATAAACAGCTTTCTATTTGCAAGCCAGTTCGAAATTTAAATAAAACCTTTTATTAGTTACCTCCTTGGTAGCCATGTTTCGAAGTAAAAGGTCATTCCATTTTTAAATTATACGACAGATATGAGTTTACATAGTACTTTATCTGGCCGCAAAACATGACAGATATGGATTTTCATACAACTTTTGCCGGCCGTTGCCCGCATGTATCTGGCCAGTACGGCAATTTTGATTTATCTCTAAGAAGATTGTCAAAGTAATGCTCACATTTCCAAGCATGTTTGAGAAAAATACATTTATTATAACTTTGTATGTTGGCACACTAGGTTTATAATATTGATTTGGCTTTTGCTGTTATAATGTTATAATTATTTTTAATTAATAAATAAATTTATTTATTTATTTAACTCTTTATTGCACCATATACAAAAATATACAATGACAAGTGAATAATTCAAGTGAAATACAGTAACATAAATACAGATTGAAATATACACATAAAGGTACAAAAGGCAGTGTTATCGCTAGGGCGATCTCTTACAGACAACCTTTGGTTAAAGGAGAACAGATAGAACGGTATACCGCGGCGTTGCTCGATTCCGTAGCGTGTCGCTGAGTCTGTAACGTTCCTCATGTAATGAGCTAGAAAATGCAAAAAGAATTTTTCAAATCCGACCGGTAGTTCTTTTTTTTATATACCACTGAGGTGGCAAACAAGCATTCGAGCCCACATTTTTTTTATACAACTTAGAATGGCAAACAAGCTGACGGCCCACCTGACGGAAAGTGGTAACCGTCGCCTATAGACGTGAGCAGTACCGTGGACATAACAGAGTTATACTGTTTCGTCCATGATACCCCCCATGCGTTGCCATTCCTGAGGACTCAGGTGTTATTCTTCTATAGCCAGTAAATTCACGCCATATCCCACTCTTTAAACCGAAACACAGCCATGCAAACACAACTCCTTCACGGTTGAAACACGAATGGGACAGAGGTAACCGAGCAATCAATGGTAAGCGGTTACCGTAGCCTATAAATGAAGAAACCTCTTTACCCCTCCCCTTTTGAAGAACCCCATGCTGTAGTCTGTTGGGAAAACCACGGAAAGTTCTAGAGATTAGCATGTACAAACAAACAAATTGACAATAGTTATATGTACATATACAATAATACACTGCAATAGAGTTTAAATAAATAAATAAATAATTCCATAACAGTTAATTATTTTTAATTTATTTTTTCAACAGGCCTTATCCCCTGCTGAGATATTGGAAAGGGCGAAGAAGCTTCAGAAGGCGAAGTAAGTTGAAATTCTCTCTTATCTTTTTTTTTTATACAACTTAGAATGGCAAACAAGCTGACGGCTCACCTGATGGAAAGTGGTAACCGTCGCCTATAGACATGAGCAGTACCGTGGACATAACAGAGTATACTGTTTCGCCCATGATACCCCCCATGCGTTGCCATTCCTGAGGACTCAGGTGTTATTCCTCTGTACCCAGTAAATTCACGCCATATCCCACCCTTCAAACCGAAACACAGCCATGCAAACACAACTGCTTCACGGTTGAAACACGAATGGGACCCAAGCAATTGACTTTTGTACAAAGTCTCTTTTTACCCCCAAACACGCCACAACCTACACTCAGCTCGGCCCCAGAACTTAGAAGAATCCAAACTGGTGAGTTCCCCGTTCGGGGTCGGGTCCATATTGTAACAAATGTTGTCGCGGCAGGGCGCTGGTGTCGCGGCCGGGGCGGACGCGCGGCCGCCGCCGCAAGTCGGACCTGCCGCCGCCGCACGAGCTGCTCAGCTCGCCCAACTTCAAGCTGTTCCTCTACTCGTGCAAGGTCTGCAGCTTCAAATGCAACGCCATCAAGGAGATGACCGCCCACAAGGTGAGCTACTTGTGAACTATGGCCGTCTCAAGGTCTTAACATATGTATACATGGTGGGGGGAAGGGATTGTCAGAAATGGAGACTAGCAATCTAATTGCTACTTATATGCCCTATTGGAGGTGGGGGGGGGAGGCATTGTTAGTACCCTTATACCCTGTCAGGTCGACTACCACATAATCCCACCTGGAAACCATCGTGCTGTATTCCAGATGTATCCATCACGATGGGCTAACTGACCTGTCATTTCCGAGGGAAAAGCATTGTTAGTAATGGGGAGAATTAGTCCCCATTGCTATCAATATGGGTATATTGATAGCAATGGGGACTAATTCTCCCCTCCCCTCTAATTGTCAGGTCGACCTCCACGCGGTTCAATAGGATTCTCAGTCTCCGTTACTAACGATCCCTTTCCCCCTAAAAGAAAGAGCAGGTCAGTTAGCCCATCGTGATGAATACACCTGGAATTCAGCACGATGGTTTCCAATGGGTACCGCGTGGAGGTCGACCTGACGAGGTATATTGCTAGCAATGGGACTGGTAGTTCGGATTACTAATGTTGCAGTCAAAACTTTTAAGTTTAGTTAATCTTTGAAGTTATTCAAAAGTACCTACTATTGATTAGCAAAATCAGTCTAATTTTTTACTGTAAATTTGCTGATAGATTACTATATAGTACAAGCTACTAGGTAGCGGGGAAGGGATTGTTAGTAATGGAGACTGGGAATCCCATTGCTAGCAATATACCCAACCAGGTCGACCTCCTCGCGGTTCCCCCTGGAAACTATCATGGTTAATTCCTGATGAATTCATCATGATGGGCTAATTGACCTGTTTTCATTCTCATCTATCACCCTTCACTGGTGCTCCGCCAGCGTATCCCGTTAGCGCAGGCGGGGTTACCATACCATTTTCGCCCATCAGAAAAAGCTACTAGGTAGCTTAGGTGCTTTTAACTGTTATTTTAGACAAAATTGTTATTGACTAAAGCATACGCTCGATAGTACTTTTGACTGCAATATTAACCATCCCTGGGAGGCATGTGTTCAGCAGTGGGTAGATGATGATGATGAGGAGGATGATGATGATGGTTGTGATGATGGTGATGGCTGTGATGATGGTGATGGTTGTGATGGTGGTTATGTGGGTGATGATGATTGTTGTGATTGTGGTGATGAGGGATGTGATGATGGTTATGATGATGAGAGTTATGATGAGGGTTGTGATTATGGTTATGAAGGTGATGATGGTTATGAGGGTGATGATGGTTATGAGGGTGATGATGGTTATGAGGGTGATGATGATGATGATGTTAGTGATGATGATGATGAGGGTTGTGATGCTGGTTATGATGATGATGATGAGAATGATGATGAGGGTTGTGATGATGGTTATGAGGGTGATGATTATGATGGTGATGTGTTGCGCGGCAGGCGGCCGAGCACGCGGCTTCGGGCGGCGGTCGCTGGCGCGGCGGGCGGGCGCCGGCCGCGCTGCAGTGTGCACGCTGTCCATACAAGGCCGCCTCGCACTCGCAGGTACCATCCCATGCACTTTATATCTACATTTACATCTTCCTTTCATTTAAGAGTCTCCTCTTGTCGGTGCAACTAATTCATGCATCTTCCTCCAGCCAGCTCTATCGCAGGCAATATCTTTGACCTCCCTATACGACATGACGCCTAGTGTTTCCTTTATCTGTCCCATGTAGTTAATCCTCGGTCTTCCCCTTCCTCTTTTGCCCTCTATCTTTCCTTCTACTATGCTCTTAGAAAAATCGTCATGTCGTATAAGGTGTCCCAGCATTTTGCCTCTTCTATTCTTTATTATTTCAACCAATGTTCTCTTACATCATTTACATCTACGCTATGTAAATGTGAGAAAGACTTCATTTTCCGCGCTCAGCCTCTCATTTGGGCCGTTGTGCGTATGAGTCGTGGCTAGTACAGCCAACCTAGCTCCGCCCAGAAGCATAGAAGCTTCTTGGATTCTTCACAGGCCTCAGAGTGACCTCGCCGTTCCGAGGATTTCTAAACGTCGATGGGCCATAGCCTCACGTTTCAGGATTACGTGAGCGGCCGTTTCTTCGGCGTCGAAACAGCCTCGACATAGAGGGCTGTCTGTAGCTCCTATTGTTACATCTACACTAATATTATAAAGAGGAAACATTTATATTTTTTGCGTGTATGTACGTTTGTAATGAATAAACTCAAAAACTACTTTGCCGATTACAAAAGTCGATTGCTTGGGTACCTCTGTCCTATTCGTGTTTCTACCGTGAAGCAGTTCTGTTTGCATGGCTGTGTTTCGGTTTCAAGGGTGGGATATGGCGTGAATTTACTGGGTACAGAGGAATAACACCTGAGTCCTCAGGAATGGCAACGCATGGGGGGTATCATGGGCGAAACAGTATACTCTGTTATGTCCACGGTACTGCTCATGTCTATAGGCGACGGTTACCACTTTTAATCAGGCAGGCCGTCAGCTTGTGAGCCATTCTGTCTAGTTAATTTTTTTTTCATTTGTTTAATTTGTTTTACAGCTCATGAAGCACGTCCAAGAGAAACACGTGCATCAAACGTTAATCTCCGAAGGTGAGTTGGTTTTGTTTAAATATACATTTTATATAAGCATATATACAGTCGAATCGAGAAACCAACTTTTTTTGAAGTTGGTTAAAAGAAATAGGTTGTATACTTAGATTATACAGATAGAGTGTCTCCATACAAATGCTTCGAGAAAAACGGCTCAACTTTTTCATACAATTTTGCGTGATCAATAGTTACGAGTGATTCCTTTATAACTTCTATATTTATTTTGTCTTATAATTTCTGCATCTTTTTAATGCATAAACACTCATTTTATTTATTAAATATAGATACGTCAAGATACATTGTGTGCGTAAGTATATAGAACACTGATAAAACAAACGAGTCAGCTAATTTGACAATAAGCTGACAAACAGTTGACCCGTTTTTAGGCTCGATGCTCTATCTATATAATCTAAGGTTGTCTGGAAGAGATTGCTTTAGCGATAAGGCCGCTTTTTGTACATATATATGTGTGTATATGTGAGTACACGCGCGCGCGTGTGAGTGTGTGAGTGTGCGTGCGTGTGCGCGTGTGTGTGTGTGTGTGTGTGTGTGCGTGCGTGCGTGCGTGCGTGCGCGTGCGCGTATGCGTGTGTGTATGTGTGTGTGAATGAATGAATGAAAATTGATTGCTCCATGTTACTATTTACAATTTTTCTCAAAAATTATGACAAATCAAAATTATACCACCGTTACACATCTGTAAAGCACACCGTAGACAGTGAAAATACCAGAGGGAGACTTGGTACAAAAATCGATTGCTTGAGTACCTCTGTCCCATTCGTGTTTCTACCGTGAAGCAGATGTGTTTGCATGGCTGTGTCTCGGTTTGAAGGGTGGGATATGGCGTGAATTTACTGGGTACAGAGGAATAACACCTGAGTCCTCAGGAATGGCAACGCATGGGGGGGTATCATGGGCGAAACAGTATACTCTGTTATGTCCATAGTACTGCTCATGTCTATAGACGACGGTTACCACTTTCCATCAGGTGGACCGTCAGCTTGTTTGCCATTCTAAGTTGTATAAAAGAAAAATATAATCTTTTTTTTTTAATCTGCCAGTTCTACTCACACTGATTCATTCAACGTTCCGTTACAGGAAATATTGATCACAGAGCAAATATTTCCAACATATATATTTTGTTTGCAGACAAGGACGAGAACACCATGCAGGTACTCGTGTGCGGCGCGTGCGGCTTCGAGTCCAGCTCGAGAAATATATTCAAGAAGCATCTAGAAGATAAACACGGCGCGATCGCGCGCTAGTCTAGAACGTTCTACATGCGTTAGTGCGGACATAAAGTGAGACTGGTAGTTTTAGTATGATTAAAAATAATTTCCGAAAAAAATGAACTTAGGCGCGCTTGTAAATTTATTGTTTTAACCGACTTCGAAAAAGGAAGTTCTAAATTCGGTTGTATTTTTTTTTATATGTTTGTCACCTCATAACTCTGTCAGTTGTGAAGCGATTTGGATTTTTTTTTATCTGAAAGAATTTACAGATATGAAAACTGTAAATGACTGATTGGTTCAACGAATTCATGCATTCTCTGACGGCCCACCTGATGGTAAGTGGTGACCGTCGCCTATAGACATGAGCAGTACCATGGACATAACAGAGTATACTGTTTCGCCCATGATACCCCCCATGCGTTGCCATTCCTGAGAACTCGGATGTTATATTTTTAAACCTATCTGTCATATGTCATTTCTCTAAATCTATTTTTTTTAATGTAGTTATATGTATATATGTAATTAAATCAATTTTTTTTTAATGTATTTTTAATTTTACAATACATTTAAATCTTTGTTCTAAAATGCAATATCAATACGACCTATGAGAATTGTGGATGATCCCAGGCTTACAATTCAGAGGAATTGTTCAATATGATGCCCACGGCCACATTCTACCATCGTACGGCTCGCCATCGACAGGGAGTTCATCCTCATGTCCTACAGCTTCAATGGTCGCGTTCAACGCAATTTCAGAGATGTTTTCTCCCACGAACGCTCAGGTTATGGAATGAGCTCCCTGCCAAAGTTTTCCCAAGAGACTACAGCATGGGGTACTTCAAAAGGGAGGTAAAGAGGTTTCTTCAGGGTCGGCATTACGCGTTATACTCCTGATATTACAGGCGTTCATAGGCTACGGTAACCCATCCATCATCGTCCATCATCAACCATCGGGTGGGCCGTATGTTTGCTTGCCACCTCATTAGTATATTTTTTTTTTATAAATAAGCGAGTAGTTGCCACATTATTATGTTAAAGTTATGAACAATTATAAATAATATTGTAGAAATAATAAAAAACACAAGGGAATTCCTTACAATTATTTATTCTCAGTCAATAGTTACAATGGGAACAGTCATTTTCAAGCGACACAATCTTTGATCATCTAAATCTAAAAACAAGGAATTACATTTTTTTTATACCACTGAGGTGGCAAACAAGCATACAGGTGGACCGTATTGTCCGGGTATCGAATCCACGACCGTTGGAAAGTGAGACGGCGTATTAACCCTCGAGAACGTCGAATTGAGTATTTTTTGAATTAATTTTGAAAACGACCGTTCCACTATATCAAATGTTACAAATCACATGTACATACACACATACAATTGTTAATTTTAAACTGTCGCATTGTTGACACATATTTTAAATACACTATTTGGTGCTTGACGTTCCACGTCGGCAATAAAGAAGCAGGGGGTCTACCATGAAATCAAATTCCGGATTTTCGGAATCGATTTCGTGTTTTGTTCGTACCGAAATTGGCCTAGTAAACGGAGGTGAACATTCCGTTCTTTATAAATTCTACCCTAATATTATTTTTATTGTTAGGTAGGCAAACGAATAGACAGTCCACAAAACGAGAGTTGCTTGTGCGTTGTCGGCCTTTAAATGTTTGTAGACACGTTTTTTCTTTAAATTCCCCATATTATATTTATTGTAAAGGAAAAACTGAAGACGGAAGCAGATTACCAGAGGGAGACTTTGTACAAAAGTCGATTGCTTGGGCACCTTTGTCCCATTCGTGTTTCTACCGTGAAGCAGTTGTGTTTGCATGGCTGTTTCGGTTTGAAGGGTGGGATATAGCGTGAATTTACTGGGTACAGAGGAATAACACCCGAGTCCTCAGGAATGGCAATGCATGAGGGGGTATCACGGTCGAAACAGTATACTCTGTTATGTCCATGGTACTGCTCATGTGTATAGGCGACGGTTACCACTGTCCATCAGGTGGGCCGTCAGCTTGTTTACCATTCTAAGTTGTATAAAAAAAGAGCTCATTCCACAACCTAGGTGTACGAGGTAGAAACAAAGTTATGTTAAAGTAGTCCAAAGGATACTTTTAACATTTTTAAACGGTATGTAATCTTAGAGCAGCATGATGTTCTTCAAAAGGGGGGGGGGGGGGGAGAGGTTTATTCAGGGTGGGCAACGCGCGCGTAATACCTCTGGTATTGCAGGCGTTCATAGGCTACAGTGACCGCTTACCATCAGGTGAGCTGTGCTTGTTTGCCATCTCATTGGTATAAAAATTATGTATATTTAAGCATCATTTTTTGTATTTCATTCGGCCGCGAACTTTGAGAAAATAATTCATGGTAGATCCTCTGGTATGTAAATACTATTTACCAGCATTTAGTGTATTTAAAACATACAATTATGCTTACATCTATGGGTTTAAAATCACTGATGGGGGAGAAAAATTGTACAAATCGAGTGCTTATATTGAATTTTTTATTGTTTTTTTTTTTTTACATTTTGGTAATTTTCTCAAAATAAAATACTGTACAGTTACTGGGTTAGATTTTTTTTTGTTTTGTATTTAACGTAACCCAGAACGACAAGAGACTGACGGCCCGCCTGATGGTAAGCGGTGACCGTCGCGTAAATAGCATCCTTTGAAGGCAGTGCTCTCTCAGAGGCACTGAACATTCTTAACGGTACACAAATCAACAAATGAATAAAAAATATTAAATTTACCATACTATCATGGCGCTTCCAGACGTTAATATAACCTTTACTCAAATAGGTTCATAGATCGATCGACTTTTTAAATAGACAGTCATATGTCTATGATAATCTTTTGTTGTTGGAGGATGGGAGGGGGGGGGGGGTTGGCCACTCCAGCGTATACTGTTAGCGTAGACGGGGTTACCATTCCATTATCATCTATTTAAAAAAATATATCTCTTATTGTCGTTTTTCCAATCTTATTTCTACGGAGATAATGTTTAATCCCTGATAGAACACTCCCTTAAAAAGATGCTTAGAATTTCTATTTCTTGCTAGACACGAACACCATGTATATTATATACTGTGACACCCGTACGCTCCTTGCCATTTTTGAGGTCTAGTTATATGATGGTACTGTTGTCACACCCATAAGTCTCTTAAAATGTTAAAACTAGTCTTAATCTACTACGAGGGTCTTATGGACACTTCCTCTCGAGCTGCCCTTTCCCACCCTCGTCGTACTCCTGCGAGGATATCCACATCTGCTGGAAAGACCCGATCGACGCCAGAATCGAGCCACCTGAGAAAAAAATATTGTTAATATATTAAAAGGGATTGCTAGGAATGGGGATTAGCAATCCTATTACTAGCAATATACCCTATCAGGTCGACCTCCTCGCGGTTCCCCCTGGAAACCATCGTGATTAATTCATTGGTAAATTAGTCACGATGGGCCAACTGACCCGTCTTCACCCTCACTGGTGCCCCGTCAGTGTATACCGATAGCGTAGACGGGATTACCATTCCATTATTATCCATTAAAAAGAAATCTATACAGTAGAATCTCCATTATCCGAACATCGATTATACACATGTTCGATTATCCGGATATTCGATTATCCGGATATGACAAGCCAAATCGGATCCCATACAGTATGTTACAACTGGAGCACATTATGGACTTGGTCGTAATGAAAATATTCGATTCATTACGTCAAAGATTAATAATAAATTATTTCAAATAAAAATTTTAAATTACTACGTAATCCATTATCTTTATAGCTCGTCATTTTATCATATCGTATTGTCTATAAATGTTTCACTTTTCATTTAACAGTTCCCTCTTGTCTGTGCAACTAATTCATGCATTCTCTTCCAGCCAGCTCTATCGCAGGCCATATCTTTGACCTCCCTATACGACGTGACACCTAGCATTTCCTTTATCTGTCCCATGTAGTTATTTCTCGGTTTTGCCCTCTATTTTTCCTTCTATTATGATCTTTAAAAAATCATCACGATGTAAAATGTGGCCCAGCATTTTGCCTCCTATATTCTATTGTCTAAATAACGTATACAAAAAAAAAAAAAAAAACCTGTTACATAATAAAAAAAGAAATATTAAAATTTAATTATTGCTCGATGCGACTTTAAAATCCATTATCCGGATTTTCGATTATACGGAATATTTCTGGTTTTATTTCATAAGCATAATCGAGATATTGCTGTATATTTCAGTTGCAAAATCTATATATTGGGAGAATTATGGGTTATATTTAATATCGTTTATTTATAATGGGCGTAGGAACGATTCACAATTAATATTCTTAAATAATATTTCTCTTAAAACAATAGAAAATAAACTAAGGGCACACTTGATAAAAGAAAAGCTGTAACCTTTACTTTTTTTTGTTAGAATGGCAAACAAGCTGACGGCCCACCTGATGGAAAGTGGTAACCGTCACCTATAGACATGAGCAGTACCATGGACATAACAGAGTACACTGTTTCGCCCATGATACCCCCCATGCGTTGCCATTCCTGAGGACTCAGGTGTTATTCCTACGTACCCAGTAAATTCACGCCATATCCCACCCTTCAAACCGAAACACAGCCATGCAAACACAACTGCATTACAGTTGAAACAGAAATGGCTTTTGTACAAAGTCTCCCTCTGGTAAATAAATCAATTGTTTATAGTAAGTTCCTGCTTATATAAGTTCGTATTAGCAAAGTTATAGTTAAGATGGAAGGTTTAGTGTTAGTTGAGGTGAATTTGTTGTTCATGATAGTAAATGACTGTTGAGATGGATGGGAATGTTGATAATGGTAGTTGGGTGTGAGTGATATGGGTGACTCATTGTAGTTAAGGTGGTATGGATAATGTTAGTTTTAGTTGGGGTGGTGGTAATAGGAGATTACATGACAACTGTAGTTAAGTAGGTAGTTTTACGAGTTAATGAGTTGGTTATATACGAGTTGAGATGCTAGTTGAGTTGGTTATATATTTGTTGAGGTGAGTAGTTGAGTTGGTCATATACGAGCGGAGGCGGTGTGTGCGTGTGAGTGGAGGCGGCGTGTGCGTGTGCGTGCGAGTGGAGGCGGTGTGTGCGTGTGAGTGGAGGCGGTGGGTGTGTGTGCGTACGTGCGAGTGGAGGCGGTGCGTGTGCGTGCGTGCGAGTTGAGGCGGTGCGTGTGAGTGTGCGAGTTGAGGCGGTGCGTGTGCGTGCGTGCGAGTGGAGGCGGTGTGTGCGTGTGTGGAGGCGGTGCGAGTGGAGGCGGTGTGTGTGTGTGTGTGCGCGTGCTCACCGATCCAGGCGGCGAAGCGTCGCTCGGCGGGCGCGGGCGCGGCGTGCGACTTGATGCGGTGCGAGGAGGGCGCGCGCGCGGCCAGGTCGCGCGCCAGGCGCTCGGGCCAGCCCGCCGCGCCCGCGCCGCCGCCGCACGCCACCACGCCGCCCCACAGCGCCGGCCGCGCCTCCGCCTCGCACGCCGCCGCCGCCGCCACCGCTGCACCACACGCGCACCACGCACCACGCACCACACATATACCACTCACTATACACTTTTTCTCAAACATGCTTGGAAATGTGAATGTTAATAATGGAATGACCTTCTAATTCGAAACATGGCTACCAAGGAGGTAACTAATAAAAGGTTTTATTTAAATTTCGAACTGGCTTGCAAATAGGAAGCTGTTTATTGAAAAAAAAAAAAACAAAGGAACATTGTTCGTTATTCGTCATTGAACTTAAAAAGTTAAATTGTGTTTTTGATTTCGGCGCATTATCTGAGAAAAAGTACTATACAAACCTTAGCTACAACTAGGCATTGATGGACTCACGTATGCCTCGGCTGCGTCTCGGCCCATATTTACACGTTCATCTATCAATGCCTCAGTTGCTGCCCGTTACAGTAATGTACTATTATTTTTATATAACTTATAATGGCAAACTAAAATGGTTGTTTATAAACAGAACACTTCATGTGTTGCCATTTCTAAAGACATCTCTTCACCTAGATTTTGATATATTAGAAAAAAATCAGTAAAATGTGGCATCATCATCATATCAGCTTTAACTATCCACTGCTGAACATAAACCTCCCCCTTGGGGAGGTTTTGCCAGTAGTTGTGACACTTGGCAGGCGAATTGGCAACCGCAGGAGATGTTTGAAGAGGGACGCTGCTGCCCAACCATCACCCTCCTTTAGTCACCTCTTACGACACCCACGGGAGAGGAAAGAGTGGTCTATTCTATGCCGGGACTACAAGACGATATGATACTAAAATAGATAATATAAAAAAAAATCTTACAGGTTCGTAAATACCAGACATGTTCCTATAAACCTACTGCTGATTTTCACCACCGTACAACCCGACATAAACTAAAGTTTCATCCCAACCATCTGGACGAGTGGCGGTCTTCCACCGTGCATTTTTCAAGGCACTTCCTTCCACGCACAACCACTCTTTGGAATCAACTTCCAGCAGCAGTATTTCCGAACCGATACGACAACATAACTTTCAAGAAAAGAGCATATTCCTTTTTAAAAGGCCGACAGCAAGTAAAGCCTCTGATGTTGTGGGTGACCATGGGCGGCGGTAGTCACTTACCATCAGGTGAGCCGCATGCTCGTTTATCCCCTATATTATAATAAAAAACCGAATATGTTCGGAAAAAAACCGGTAGTGATGGGAAAACCGGAAATTTTCGGAAATAAAACCGGACAGTCGGTGATCCTATTTAAACAACTTCCCGATTGTCACCACTATTACCAATCCACCGTTCGACTCACCAAGGTGCGCCGCCCCCAGGTTCTGCTCGAACAAGCACTCGGTCAACTTGAACCTCTCGGGGCCGAAGTCCTGGTGGTAACCGCCGGGGAACTCGTAGTGTATGAACGGCACCGACGCCGCTGTACGCTCGTCGTACGGGGTCTCTGACACCTGGTGTGTAATTGGCATGGGTAATATTTGATTAGAGGGGGAGGGGGGAGAGGTTTGATTGGTCGCATAGAAATATTATGAAAACCTTTCCAATATTTTAGTTTTTAAATTAAAATCATAGTTATGTCACAGGGCTGTGTTTCGGTTTGAAGGGTGGGATATGGCATGAATTTACAGGGTACAGAGGAATAACACCTGAGTCCTCAGGAATGGCAACGCATGGAGGGATATCATGAGCGAAACAGTATACTCTGTTATGTCCATAGTACTGCTCATGTCTATATGCGACGGTTATCACTTTCCATCAGGTGAGCCGTCAGCTTGTTTGCCATTCTAAATTACATAAAAAAAGTAGGTTTTTTTGGTGAAACACAATTTTAATTATTTGCCTTCTAATTTTCTTTTCTAGTATGCTCTTTATAATAACATTTCGTAGAAGGTGGCCCAGAATTTGGTCTCTTCTATTACTTAATGCTATAATGAATGTACTTTACATATGAAACAATCCAAGCATATTTTCTATTCTCCCGTTACCTGGGCAACGCAGTGGCAGAAATCTTCGTATTGCCGTTTGAGCATATACTGTTGCCAAGACAGCGTCAGGCCAGCCGGTAGGGTCTTCAGCGTGTACCTGGCACGTTCACGCTCCCTGATCACTTCCTTGCTCTGTAAAATAATTTTACAATTATATCAACCGGGGGAAAGGATTGTTAGTAATGGGGATCTAACAGCTCGAATGCTAGCAATATACCCTGTCAGGTCGACCTCCATGGAGTTCCCCCTGGAAACCAACTTGGCTAATTCTTGTGGAATTCGTCACTATGGGCTAACTGACCCGCTTTCATTTTTATTTATTATCTTTCATTGATGGCCCACCAGTGTATACCGATAATGCAAGCAGGGTTACCATTTCATCTTAACCCATTAAAATATATATATATATATATACCTGCAAACGTTGTTTTGCCATATACATATATATACCATAAATTTTGGTATGGTTCCTACGTTTTATAACAAAATACTTAAAAGAATATAATTTATTGACGTTTTAAAAAAATACATAATTATTATGAAAAAAATATTTCAACATCATCATCATTTCAGCCATTACCCGTCCACTGCTGGACATAAGCCTCCCCCATAGACTGCCATAAGGAACGGTCCTGAGCCACCTGCGTCCACTGACTCCCTGCAATGCATTTCAGGTCGGCACTCCATCTAGTGGCGGGGTCGTCATACACTGCGTTTGCCCGTACGCAGTCACCACTCAAGAACCTTTCTTCTCCGAAAAAATATTTATTGGAGAAAAATTGTTACAGTACTGAGGAATTTCTTAATGGTAATTAATTAAAATGGGCATGTATGTAAAAGAAAATGGATGTCGAGGGATGGGCAGCAGCATCCCTCTTAAAACATCACCAGGGCCTGACCACCAGCCTGCAAAGCATGACAAATACTGGCAAAAACCCCCAATAGGGGAAAGCCTATTTTTTTCATACAACTTAGAATAGCAAACAAGCTGACGGCCCACCTGATGAAAAGTGGTAACCGTCGCCTATAGACATGAACAGTATCATGGACATAACACAGTATACTGTTTCGCCTATGATAGCCCCCATGCGTTGCCATTCTTGAGGACTCAGGTGTTATTCCTCTGTACCCTGTAAATTCACGCCATATTCCTATCCCACCCTTCAAACCGAAACACAGCCATGCAAACACAACTGCTTCACGGTAGAAACACGAATGGGACAGAGGTACCCAAGCAATCGACTTTTTTACAGCAGTGAACGGTAAATGATGATATATAGAGTACTATTGATAGTATCAGTGACATATATATACCTGTATACTGTATAAAGGCAGCATCTGTATATGCATAGAGTTGAGCAAATTCTTGGCCTGCGCGACCAGGTGGTCGCCTCCCACGGGGGAGCGGACCGCGGCGCTCACCAGCGCGTATCTGAGGGACAATATTTACATATTATATGTATTTAGAAAAGAAAGAAACAATTTAATCAAAGAAGCATGCGAAAAGAAACAAAAAAAAAGTATTTTTTTATGCAACTTAGAATGGAAAACAAGCTGACGGCCCACTGATGGAAAGTGGTAACCGTCGCCTATAGACATGAGGCAGTACCATGGACATAACAAAGTATACTGTTTCGCCCATGATACCCCCCATGCGTTGCCATTCCTGAGGACTCGGGTGTTATTCCTCTGTACCCAGTAAATTCACGCCATATCGCACCTTTCAAACCGAAACACAGCCATGCAAACACAACTGCTTCACGGTTGAAACACGAATGGGACAGAGGTACCCAAGCAATCGACTTTTGTACAAAGTCTCCCTCTGGTGAGGGAGTACAAATAAAAGGCGTTTTCTGCTAATTACATTCTGACGGTCCGTGATAGGTTTTTTAAAAAACGAATACTCTTTAAGTTCACAATGTCGTTTAATATAATTTAACGCAGAGTCTTTATTTAACATTAGTAATTATATAATAATAGTTATATAATATCTATGAATCGCGATTGATTCCTAAAATATACACCGTAACGTCCGCAACTTAAAGCATACTGTCCTCTCACCGCATTGTGGTATTCCCTTTTATCACATTTCCTTTGTATTCATTCTTTCTGGGAATTTGTGTGTGGGAACAGCTATTGTGCAATATGTATTGGTATATTGTAGTATGGTTTGGAAGGGGTTTGCACCCGTAACATACTCAATTAAAGTCAAAATTAAAAGAAAAACAATAATAATAATAGTAAATGTATATAGAGAAATAATATAGTAATAAAAAATAGATAAGAATAAAAATAATAAACGCCGGTTTCTCTCCCTGGGGCCCTGAACGCCGGCCGACTGTGCTTCTGCCGGGGGTTAGTTTGCCATCTCCTCTCCTTAAGAGGGGATATGAGAATTTTTGTGAAATTTGAATAATAATAATAAATAAATAAACAACAGGACAACTCGTTGAATTTAATATTAATATCAGTCCAATCTATTGACAATGACAATTTTGTACCGCACTCATGAAATAACAGGAATTAGGATCGATATGCAATAGTTTGTATTAGCAAATTACACTAATATGTATCCATTAGATTATTTAATAGTACATTACTGCAGCGGCCAGCAACTGAGGCATTGATGGACGAACGTGCAAATGTGGGACGAGTCATAGCCGAGGCACACATACGTGAGTCCATTAATGTTTAGTTGTGGCCAAGGCTTGTATAGTACTCAAACTAGTTTCTCAAACAATGCGCGGAAATAAAAAACACAATTTTACTTTTTAAGTTCAATGACGAATAACGAACAATAATAATTTTTCACGCGCCATAATGTTCCTTTGTTTTTTTTTTCAATAAACAGCTTTCTATTTGCAAGCCAGTTCGAAATTTAAATAAAACCTTTTATTAGTTACCTCCTTGGTAGCCATGGTTCGAAGTAAAAGGTCATTTCATTTTTAAATTACAGGACAGATATGAGTTTACATAGTAATTTATCTGGCCGCAAAACACGACAGATATAGATTTTCATACAACTTTTGCCGGCCGCTGCCCGCATGTATCTGACCAGTACGGCAATTTTGATTTATCTCGAAGAAGATTAATACAACAAAATAATGCTCACATTTTCAAGCATGTTTGAGAAAAAAAATCTTATGATTAATTTTATTGAAAAAAAAAATTAATAAAGAATTTTTTTCTGCTTTTATAAATGAATTTTATAAATGCTTGTAATTAAGTGTATTCGTGTAAAAAATATACTTATTCATGGAGACATCAGCTTACCCATCTATGACGGGGACAGCAGATGTCTGACTGGCGCCAGCGTCCACCACTAAGGCGGTGGACTTGCCGTTAGCGAATGCCGCCAGCACAGCATTCTTGACGAGGAAGAACGCTGGTGCCTGGTACTTCTCGAAGAGTAACTCTGCCAGCTTCTCCCGAGCTGGCCGCATTGTCCACACTGCCTCAGTGAACAGAGCTGGATGGTGCTCTGATGGGGATCTGATTACCTGTTAATGAGAAAGTGGTATTTAATAAAAATTACCACCACCACCTGCTCCTTTTCCATGGGTGTCATAAGAGGCGACTAAAGGAACTAAATGGTCGAGGAATGGGCAGTAGCATCCCTCATAAAGCATCATCACTGGCAATCGCAGTTATCAAAGTATAAGTGCAGTCGTCAACCCATCTGCCAAGCATGGCAACTGCTGGCAAACTTTCCTTATGGGGGAGTCCTATGTTCAGCAGTGGATTAAAACATGATGGTTTTTAGGGGAATCATGTGGAGGTCAACCTGAGAGGTATATTACTAGCAATGGGGCTATTAGACCCCATTACTAACAGTCCTTTCCCTCCCGGTTCCTACATAATATAGATTATATAATTTGATTATATAATTGATATAATTGCGGTATTTAATAATATAATATTCCTGTTTGGTCCCAGTATAGAACGGGCCATCCCTTCCATTCCTGTAGGTTTCATAAGTACTAACTAAATAATAGAGGGACAGGCAGCAGTCACCCCTAAAACATCATCAAAGCATGGCAACGACTAGCAATACCTATTTTTACAATATCTATTTGGTCAACTTCTATGTGGTTCCCCTTGGCCATCATTGTGGTTAAATCTTGTGAAATTCATCATGATGGGATAACTGATCTGTTTTCATCCTCACCTATCAACCATCACTAGTCTGTCAGCATATATTAGTAGCGCAGGTGAGGATGCAATAGTTAGTCTAAAACTTTATCTTGATATTTGGAAAACTCTAATTGGTGGTTTGTATTCACACAATTAAACTTAAAAATGTAAAGTAATAATAAAATTATTTAAAAGAGCAACACGCAAGTTTCTTGCTCGTTCTTCTTGTGATGAGACAGCTTTCCGAACGAGCGGTAGATTAACAAAAATGTAATGACTTTTCAAAAGTGCTTCAATGTAAGTTTATTTGAATAAATGATTTCTATTCTATTCTAGTTCTGCAAAAAAGTTGCATACATGCTACATGTAATATTGCACCTGATGTTTCCTGTAGGCCTTATTTCAAGTCTCTAAATATATTACCTGTTCCCAGTCTGTATATACTTGAAGCGGGCATATTTGTTAAATTAAATAAGCACATGTTTACAGAAGCAAAAGAGCAAATACAAAGAAGCGCAAGATACCCTAAAAAATTAGCGACTAATACAATTCCTAAAACCAGCCGTTTATTAAAAAATTCCTATATTTTTTTTTTTTTTTATGCAACTTAAAATGGCAAACAAGCTGACGGCCCACCTGATGGAAAGTGGTAACCGTCGCCTATAGACATGAGCAGTGCCATAGACATAACAGAGTATACTGTTTCGCCCATGATACCCCCCATGCGTTGCCATTCCTGAGGACTAAGGTGTTATTCCTCTGTACCCTGTAAATTCACGCCATATTCCACCCTTCAAACCGAAACACAGCGATGCAAACACAACTGCTTCACGGTAGAAACACGAATGGGACAGAGGTACCCAAGCAATCGACTTTTGTACAAAGTCTCCCTCTGGTAAATATGATGTGTTTGAAAATCTTTAACAATATACCTACGGATATAAAGGAACTTCCATTAAATAAATTTAAAATTGTATCACGTAAATGGTTACTTAGCAAAAGCTTTTACTCTGTTGACGAATTTTTCAAGAAAGAATAGATAAATATCTAATATAGTTGTCGATGCATAAATAAATCAGTTTCTATCAAAATGTGACATTTGCATGCTATACTGTAATGGCTAAATAGGCACGAGACTTTATGTAATATAAAACCACCAATACCTACCCTATGTAATGCAAATAAATTTATTACTATTATTAAAACTTTATCACGTATGACTAGGGGGAGGGGTTAAAAAGTTGCTAAAAAAACATCTGGTTAATGGATGACCTCTAACCAAAAAAGTAAGATGTAAACAAACCTTAGAATAACAGTAATCCAGCATCTTCTCGAATAAGTCCCAATTGTCGATTTGGCCGTCTTTCATATATGTTTGCACTTCCATGCCCGGTCGGGGCACATGCAGCTCAGTCACATCTATATAGTAGCGGAGCTCGCCAGTTTTTGTGGCTGAAATTGAAAATTTGCGAATGAAAATAACATGGCAGATGGTAAATTTAATTATAACCTCTAGGATCTACATGCCTATCTACTCACACATGTACACTGTTGTATATTATCACACAACTTCACCATAATACATTCACATTGGAAGGGGAAGGGATTGGGAAGTTAGTAATGCAATCTGCATTACTAACAATTGGAAGTGATTTGTAGAAGAGAGTATTGTACTAGACGCCAGGTATGAGTAAATGTGTGTACATGATCAGCCGCAGGCCAGACGACTGACTGTCTATGCGGGAGGGGCGGGGGGGTGTTAGTAATGTGGACTACCAGTCCCATTGCTAACACTATACCCTAACAGGTCAACCTCCCCGTAGTGCTCCCTGGAAACCATCGTGTTGAATTCCAAGTGTATTCATCAAAATAGGCTAACTGACCTGCCTTTTCATCCTCACCTATCATCCCTCACTGGTACACCACCAGTGTATACCGTTAGCATAGGCGGGGATACCATTCCATTAGCATACATTAAAAAAAACATACACATTAGGCATGGGTAATATCAGTACCATTCAATATCTATATATTGGGTTTCACTGGACATTGATAATGGAAAAAAAGGTTATGGCCCACTATGATATCACCAGTACTGGTTAGACATCTGTATTAATTTTAATCTGGTGTATTTCAATATTTTATATTGGATAATGGATAATAAATATAAGCATTATTGGGTCATGATATAGGTATTCTAACTACAATATACATTGATTTGGGGGGAAAGGGATTGTTAGTAATGGAGACTGAGAATCCTATTGCTAGCAATATACCCAACCAGGGCGACCTCCTCGCGGTTCCCCCTGGAAACTATCATGGTTAATTCCTGATGAATTCATCATGATGGGCTAACTGGCCTGTTTTCATTCTCATCTATCACCCTTCGCTGGTGCTCCACCAGCATATCCCTTTAGCACAGGTGGGGTTACCATACCATTTTCACCCATCAAAAAAAATATATATACATTGATATATTGTTTTACATTACCCACCCCTATTAAATGCTAACAGATATACAAATTATTTTTATGTGTATATCTGTTAGCGTGTAATATTTTGTTCATATTATGTGCTAGTTAGTAGGATGAATGTCTGTAATTGGGGGGAAAGGGATTGTTAGCAATGAAGTTTGACAGCCCCGTCACTAGCAATATGCCTTATTAGGTCGACCTCCACGTGGTTCCCCTTAGAAACCATCGTGAACAATTCTTGTTGAATTCGTCACGATGGGCTAACTAACCTACTTCATCCTCAGCTATCATCCTTCACTGGTGCCTCACCAGTGTATACTGATAGTGCGGGTGGGGCTACCATTCCATTATCATCCATTAAAAAAAGTCTGTAATTTACAGTTATAAATCGATTATAAAATTTTGTTAGTACATTTTAATTTTTTATTCTGATCTACATATTTTTGCTACTTATAGATCTGCCAAAATTAGACATTCACTTAACCTCATATTACATATTTGAAAACATACTTAAGTATGCTGGAATATTCTTGAGAAAATATGAAACATAAGAAAAAAATACCCTGAAACCAATATGAAGGAAATTATCTCATGGATCTAATCTGTCGTTTAGCGTTTACTTTTATTTTTCTTTTTTAATATTGATATAAAAAACTTGGCTTTAGCTTAGATAAGCCATTTCTTCACTATCAACTTATAGACAATTTACGTATATATTTCAAGTTAGAACTCACCGCTCTGAGTGATATTCCCATCTGGGACTTTCTCTTCGGGTTCTGGAATATGTGTTGCTGGTCCAACACCAACTACGGCCGGAATATCGGCTTTTGGAGTATCTTCTTGAGCATACCCAACTCTCAACGAATGATGTCCGGGATCGAATACTAAAGCACCTATTTCGTCACCACCATACAACATACCGTTTGGACCACTCATAATTTTAAACTTTTATAAAAAAATATATATTTTATTTTCTTGTATAATAACAATAAATAAAAATTAAGGACGCGGGGAAACGCTAGTGTTTTGGTTTTGACAAATTCATTTTTTTTTTTTTTTTTTAGTACGTTTGTTCCGTTTGGAACAGGCTAAGGTCGGAGACCATGCTGCCTAGTCTTCAGAAAGATAATTTGTCTGGAATTTTATTTTTCTAATGTCGCTTCAATTATTGTCATAATCTTCAATATTTCATTTGTCAAATCCGGTAAGTACATTTTCATAAATATCTTTTCTTGAGTTTTCTTAAACCAGTGGATTTATCAAATTAAAAATAAATAATTATAAAAAATCATTGTCTTGCAATTCAATAAAAGTATTCTTATAGCTCCTTGAATGTTGTAGTAATATAAGTGAAAATAGCTTTGAAACAAGAAGGAAATCTTAAGAGAAGCGGGATTGAGTGCGGGATATTTTCGGGTTTTTTGAAGATAATCCTAAGTTCGTCAAACATAATGTGTCTTTGAATGACAAATTCAGAGCAATCAAAAAAAAAAGGTGATGTAGAGATTGGGCTGTATTTGAGTTACACCATGTGCATGATGGGGAAGCGATCATGCCCATTCGGTGCAGGTGTTCGTTGAAATGTCCGTGGCCGATTCGTAATCTACAAATATTGGTGTAAAATTTTCTGTTTGTGTCCTTTCCTTTGCAGAACCACGGTTTTCCAATACGCCAATTAATTTTGCGGTACCATTTGCCTTTAGTCTGTAATATTTGAGTCCAATGCTCCTCCCATTTAGTTGTAACGATTTTATGTATTCCAATACTACAATCTGAGTAACAAAGGGATAAATCTTGAACACGAGCAGCACTTGAATTAATAATTTTAGCCAAAGTGTCTACTTGTTCATTCCCAAACACTCCAATATGTGAAGGGGTCCAGATGAAGATAATATCTTTTCCATATATAGTACAGAGATGATAATATTTATTACGAATTTCTTGAATTAAGTAGTTTGATGATGAAATGAATGTGTTATTTTTTAATGCCATAAGAACACTCATACTATCTGTAATTATAATCCATTTCGAATATAGTACCTGTTTTTCTATGTATTCTAATGCTAAAAATATAGCTTTTGCTTCTGCTGTGTAAATACTAGCCAAAGTTGAAATTTTATAACCGTGACCAAATCTATTTGACAAATCGTAAAAAGCCACTGAAGTGCTAAGTGCATTTTTGGAACCATCTGTATATATCTGCCTGTAGTCAATAAATTCTGATAAAGTCTCATACATATCGTGCTTTTCTTTTATGTCTTTACGTATAACAATTTTGATCTTACAGAACTTACTCTCATAAAGGCCATTATAACAAGGAAGTATCTTACTACTATAGATGTTATATTCATCTCGTAAATTCAAATCATTGACAATATTTTTTTTTTTCTCTCTGGCAACACTGCCGATAACAGTCTTTGTCAGTTGGCTCTTATTTATTTATTGTTTTTAATTTATTACTTGTGAAATAACGATACTAGTGTATATAATCAGTGAGTTTTGGTCATAAGTAACGTCGATTGTTGTTGGTGTGTAAATCTGTGATTTCTTTGTGACAAAAATCTACGTTACAAAATTTGTGGGACCGCCAACTGTCAAAGTATTGGTAATTTACAATAGAAGTCTTGGATTTCTATTGACTCCTTTAATAATTAAATGCAGTTATTACACTTCACTATTACTATATCCATTTACAAATAAACAATAATATTAAAGTCAAATATTCTATAGTGAAGATCGGTTGTTGTTGTTGAGAGGAAAAAAAAAAAAAAAAAAAACTACCCACTAACATAAAATATTATTGCAATAATTACAGCTCATAAAATTTATTTATTATCATATTGATAATATATTCCAAATAGCTGTACGAAACTAAACTTATGTATTTTATTAAATAACAATACAATATTAGTAATCCATAGCCATTGCTAGATATCATATGACAAATTAAGACATATTTACTGTAGTGGTAATATATAAGATTAATTTTTTTTTTTTTGTAACAGTATTGGTATTTAAAGTTTTTACTAACAATATTTATTTATTTATTTATTATTAAATTATTTATTGTATTATTTTATTGAAGGGAAATAGCGCACTTTCAACACTGTATTTCTTCTATTGAATAATATTCATTGTTGTCTTGTTTCGTAGATATTTAACATAATAATTAAAAATGATGTCCCGCAGAGCATGTGATCTTGATGCTAAGCTCAAGGTGACACTCTTAGAGTTAAAAAAATCCAATGAATTAAATAAGGCCTTATTACAGGAACGAGATGAAAGTGAGATTGAAATTAAGTTGATGTCTGATAAATATGTGGCTCTGAAGAATGACCTAGTGAAGATCAGTACAGACTTTGAAGTTCTACATATCGAAAAAGAAAAACTTCAAGAAATTGTAAATAAATATGATCTGTGCAGAGACACACATATGAGTCAGCATTGCAGAAAATCACTCATCTAGAGCGGCACCTTGAGGAAGTTCAATCACAAAATAAATCTTTGTTGGATCACAGGCGGTTGAGTAGTTATAACGAGACCATGGATCTGTATACAGAAATGTTAAATACTACTAGTGATCAAACATCTGCTCTGCCCCTTGTGACCATAGATTTGACAAATACACCAAGCTCCTATAGTCCTAATAAAGTACCTATTAATAGTAGTAAGAAGTTAAAAAAATATGTAAAATTAAATAAATTTATTCGAAAATCAGAAAATTTAGTGAAAAGTCATAAAAAGTGTTTAAAATCAATTATTACTAGGAAGCAAAAAATTGACTTATCAATAGAATTAAATAATTGTAAAGAAAAAATATATAACAAAGATTTAGAAATAGATGAATTATCACAAAAAATTAAACTATTAGAGAACTCGTTGTCCAATTTATCTTTGAAATACGAATCAGCTAAGAATGAAATACATGAATATTCTGATCAGTTAGATAATTTAATAAAATTGGGTAACTACAACATGGAGCGGTTTGTTTCTCTTACGGATAGATGTCACTGTAATTCACCAGAGTCTGATAACTATATCCAACCGTCCCACCATAATCAGTTGAACATTGATATCTCATCCGTCACGGAGCCAGACGTTTCATGTTTACCCACACGAAACAGTACAAAAGTAAATAAATGCAGCACTGTACATGAAACCATCAGGAGAACAATTGTTTATTCAGATGAATTTGGCAAGGATTTAGGTAGTTTATTATCGAACTGCCTCTCGCAACAAGTAATAAATAATTGTTTTCCGGGATCAGGTATATATAAGATTATAAAAAATATAGAAAATGAAAAATATGATATTCACACGACCCTAGTAATAGCGTTAGGGAATTGTTTGCATATGCGTAAATCTGATATAGTTAATTTAATAAAATCATTATATAATATAGTGGAGCTTGGTATAGGTAAAATATTATTATGCGCATTTCCCTACTCTCAATCCCTGACTAATGAACAGAATAAGTTCATTTATAGTATAAATAATTTAATTTATTCGATGACATATCATTGTAATGATATATTTTATTTTGAAAGTAACAAATTTGTTACAAATTATTATATGACGGGAGGTAATTTTTATCTTCCTAAAAAACAAAAAAAGACTATTGCTAGTTTACTAGCGTATAACATTTATGATCCCATTATAAGTAGTATAACGGGTTTAATTAGTAATATTAGTAATTATACTAATAATGTGACATGTGTTAATTTAAACTAACATCTACGACATTGGTTAAGCCACAGGATATGGTCATTATTCATCAAAATATTCGTGGCTTCTCCAGCAAAGAATTAGAATTAAGTCTTTTCTTAGAATCTAACAATGTACGGGTGTTATGTCTGACAGAACATTGGCTTAAACAATATGAAATAATTTGTCCTTTTGAACATTATAATATAGCTAGTTTTTTTGCTAGGAACAATGCCATTCATGGCGGATCAATTATTATTTTAAAAAATGATGTAGAATATAAAAACCGTCAAGACATTGTAAATATTTCTATTGAGCAAACAATTGAACTATCTTGCGTAGAATTAGTTACTTGTATAATAATTTGCGTTTATCGTCCGCCATCGGCTTGTTTTGATTCTTTTGAACTGGCTATGGAGGAAGCATTGAGACGAGTCGCACGGAGGAATAAAACATTATTTGTATGTGGCGATTTTAATGTTGATTTATTATCGGAATGCTCAATAAGCTTAAGATTGATTAACTTATTTAAATCATTTAATTTGCACAATCTTTTTTTAGAACCCACTAGGGTCGCAGGAAATTCTGCCACTTGTATAGATAATGTTTTTTGTAATTGTGAAGTAAAGGTGAAAATGAATTTCGACTGTCTTGGATCTGATCATTACGGACAAAAAGTTATAATTGAAACTAAGGGATCCAAAGGGACTCAAACAATTACATGCAGACAAATAACACAAAAGAATTTGGCACGTTTTAAAAATAAAATTGAACATAAAATATCTAGTGTCATAGTACCTCAATATGACCCGGACATTGTATGTGAACATATTTTTAATTTAATTGAACATGAAGCTAGCAGTGAATTTAAAACAAAAACATTTTCAACTAGTGTAAAATCAAAGTTTTGTGACTGGGCCACGTTTGGTATTTATAAGTCTAGGGCTAATCTTTACGAACTTTACGAAAAACGAAGCTATATATCCGATCCCTTATTTCATGAACATGTAAAATCTTATTCGAAAATATTTAAAAAGGTTTGTCATACAGCTAAGTCTCTCTATTTAGGTAAAATAATAACTAAATCTAAAGATAAAATAAAAGCCACTTGGAAAGTAATAAATAGCGAAACTGGAAAAGTTAATTTTCAAAATAGCAAAATAGCTTTAAATATTAATAACAAATTGGTAAATTCCGACACAGAGGTCGCGCATACATTCGAATCTTATTTTACTAATATTCCATTAATTACGACACAGGCTTTAAAATCTTCCCCGTCTGCTGCTGAAACTTTACTAACAGACAATGTTAGCAAGTCATCAGCTGTATTTAACTTTAGACATACATCATCAG